AAGGAGGGTCAGGAATGGAGTAACCTAACATGTCTCAAATGCGCAAGTTATGCAATTAGATTATTCAGACGTGCTCATCCTCACAAGCTGGTTTAGCACGGGTTAAAACGTCGAAGTTCGGAAAATATTCCACATAATCGCTCATGTACATGCGCATTCCAACGCGGGGCGAAGCGTGTCCCGTAACTTGACCGCAGAACTTCTACGTTGGGTCGTTGGGACATGATCAAGCTATGATCGAGGCCAATGTAACAGTGATCTTGCTGTTTTACCTTTGCCAGTTGTTTGGAAGACACTGGATTTATTCCTGCATGCTAGGTGTGGTGTTGGGCCAATGCATGGCATGTCGAGAGGTTCGGTCTTATCGCCACTCTCTACTGTTCAGCTGGCTAACATCCAGTCTCTTCCCACACTGCCACCCGGTAAATAATGCTATGCGGTGTAGCGTACCTTGACTTGCCTTCACGACGACGGATCGAAGGATCGACCCGATCCGATCGAGTCAGTCTGACGTGCGCCTCTTGTGGTAGGAGGACCTGCCCTGCAGGCAGTGCCCGCTCCTGCTGGCCAGTCTGTTAGCTGCGTTGTATCGATTGTTCGCCGTTCGACCATCATCAGCTACCTTTTTTGTTGTTGTCCGACTGTGCAGCCCTCCCTGTGTGGAGTAGACATGGCGTGCGTGAGAGTCTTGACCGCAGTTTATGTGTACATGCGTGAAGTGGTGGGCTGGGGTGGAATGAGTCATGCACGGCGGCAAATGCCGCCTGCTTTCGTCGTGCCGCCGCGATACTCGCACACGGGCCATTTCACGACGGACCTCGAATAAAGACAGCGGATCACCCGCGGCGTGGATGATGCGGACCTGTGTCATCAAGGCGCTCACTGTGCGCCGTGATACAGTGTGACGCGCCTCTTCGTATCGGTATTCAGTCTTTTAGTGCCAGAATAACCTCTAGCACCGATCTAGCCTAACCACGTCAGAACGACATATGCAACCTAGAGTATACCAGAGTCAACATGATGCAAGTTTCATGTAGGGTAGTATGAAGTTGTGCACCGACGTCGCTAAGCAGTGAGTTGTGCGCTCAGAGGTTGTATGCACGGGTACGCGAGCTCAGGGCATGTCAAAACCGACAGTCAAGCAACGGCTCGCCTACATATTCCCTACAGATCTTGCTACAACAATGCACACCTTCGTCAGCATCCCGCTCTTGGTCTGTCTGACTTTCGCCTGGGTCAATCCCGCGGTCGAGAGGTGGGCTAGTGAGAGACGAGTCCGACCCTCGCTGTGTGATATCGAATATGACTCCTTTCAGAACAGAGATCGTCAGGTTATCCCCCGTAGTGGATTACAATGACAACACCAACTCGACACCAGGCCACGGTACGTACAAATTCGGTCACGGTTACAGGTCATCGCAGAGGGTGGACTCTATCAGAAGCCCATCGGCAAATGCTTCATGCAGTCTAGTGGTGCTGTGACTGGTTGTAAATGCCATACCACTAACTGTTTAATCTACGTGGTAGGCTTGACTTTTCGATTTCCTGTTTAGTAACGACTTGATCAACCTCACCTTTTTTAGAACCACGAGACTCGCATAATCTATACAGCGGTATGTGGTGACACTTGTAAAAGTACCAGAACCTGTCAGAGACCTCGTATTGGAATAAGACAATGTAAACCGTTCTGGGTATGCAACATAAACTGCGACGTTAACGAGGTGAATTCAGTTTACTCCGGTACTGGTTTACAAATGGCGTCTTCTTAGGACTGTCCGTTCTGGGAGGGGGCGTTCTGTCTACAGAGCGGGAACGTAGGGAAGTATTGCACATACCACAACACCTACTAGGTGTCACCCAGTCTAATAACTCCGTCAACTATCATCGGTGCTGAACACTGATCAGCACACAATTATCGATAATCGCTCGTGAGCAATGTTCTTTGGTCCTACCACGTGGGCCCACTTTATTCTGTTCATGTTGGGTCTAACTCTCGGCCGGCTACGATCTTCTCTCTTATTCGATCCATCTGATATAAGTGGCTTCCCTTACTCTACTACACAAGTTAGTATTTTCTGGGGAAACTAATGGCGATGAGCTCAGTCTCAGACGGTTCAACCTCGACAACGGCGAGGGTTATTTCAATATCATCACAGTGTTAGTGTGTGATGTCATCCACTATCCATAAAATTATATTCCGAATGCCGCTTATCGACGAGAACCTCGATATAATCGACATAATGTAGACAGTTGTGCTGGCCACACAAGCGTGGGCAGTGCAGCAAACCGTGCCTTGATATCGATGGATTGTAGAGTACAACTTGTACTAGTTTGATTCAAATACTTCGGTTCCAGCAGTGATACTGCCGCAGTATTCAATTGGGTATGTATATCCAAGCTGGAAGTTTCTACCCATCCGAGCCGCAATATATATCCTCACAGACGACGTTATGTTCACTTGTGAGATAAACTCGTTAAGCTTTCCTAGGTTAGTCTAGTTTGCATTGGCTACACTGGCAAGCACTACCGTAGTGCCACTACGCTTCCAGCATGAACTTTTACTACTAAGTTAGTAGAAGTTCGAAAGCTCATGTGCGAGGAATAAAATCCGACTGTCATTTCTCCTGATATGGCCGACAAAGACTCAATATCCAAATCGGCACCATTTGCTCTGCTTTTTCTCCCCGGACTAAAATAGATCTGGGCCGGGACAACCCCACAAGCATTTGGCATACCGCTCGCCGAGGAACGCGGGCTATAGCTGGGATGAATCACCACGGCTCGGCCTGTGGCAAGTCCCATTTATGCTCACTCCCGCATCGATTAACCTCGACGGTCCCTATACATTCGTAAATTTGTACGGGAATTGAGTCATGAGAGTGGTGAAATTCAGCCAGCTATCAGAGACAGCATGAGCTGTCTCTGATAGCTGTCTCACGACAACGATAGTTGTACAGATAGTGAGTACAGACTCATTCTCAACAACTGCATCTCGAAGATTTTCCAGGGAAATCGTGAATAGTCAAGTTACTTTCTCGCTCATCCCGCGGAGTTTATTTTGGATTGAACTTGGCACCCTGGGCGTGCGCGCATTTCCACCAAACCAACTGGTTTAGCACGGGGTAAAGCGTCCGGACTAGGAAAATATTCTGCATAATCGCTCGTGTATATGCGCATTCCAACGCGGGGCGAAGAGTGTCCCGTGACTTGGCCGCAGAGCTTCCACGTTGGGTCGTTGGGACATGATTAAGTTATCGAAACAGTTCTTGCATGTTCCGTAATCAACCTCAATGTCGTTGTTTCGCGAATGCTGTGCGGGGACCATCAGCTGGCTGGACCTTGGAAAATGCATGCAGTGTTTGCAATGACACTGAAGATTCCCGCTGGCTCTGTCTGGGTTGCTACCAGGTATGCTGGACTTGCTCTAGTACAGTGGGGGGAAATATGCAGATGAAAATTTTGAGGAAATTTTGGTTGGTTTCTTCACACTTCTACCCTAATTCTTATATTAACTTCGATGATTAATGAAGGAGCTCCTGAGCTCAGCTGAGGAAAGCAAACATCCTCCGGTGGAAGCCTGTTGCTTCAAATTTTAGGTGGTTCTGATTTTATCTGGGAGTGCTCCCACTCGAGTACTCGTGTATTTTCCATATTATTTTTTCTGTCTCTAGATATTCTGTGGTTCGAAAACTGAGGGTCACATGCACGAGCACTGCGAAGCGACTTCCAGTGAGAGAAAATGGACACTCATAGGTCTTCGCATTCTACACTCTCAGGTACAGACACGCAATGCTGCGTTGCTATTTCCATCACAAAGAAGACATTCTGGTGCTTTAAGTGCAAAACCTCAGACTTCGCCACACAACATGATACGCGCTTACAGATGGCATTCGGACTGGTAAGCTAGCGGCTGTCCCTCTTTGTGAGATTAAGTATATTGTCAAGAGCTGTTTAATACCACACTCTCGGTAATTCATTGCAGTTTACTTGAATCAGGTCATGAGTAGAAGCGCCCACGAGGTAGAGAGCCTAGCGGCAGTACTCCGTCGCTTGTACAGAAGGGGACTTCCAAATCCTCGGTATGATCATGTGCTCTGTAACCGGTACATTGTTGCTCTCTTGTTCGCTCAGGTGTTGGGCAGACTTGCCACTACATCGCCAACAAGTGTTCGGAAGCCGAGCAAAGGTTAATCTAGACGGCCTTGTCAACAAGTGGCAAAACACACTGAATGGGAAGCTCTCTGGTGAAGATGCCTGCGGAAAAAGGTACTGTGTCGTAATATCAGAGCTCATACTGAAGTAGTTGTTTCAGAATCATCGTTATGGCCGGTGCTGGTATATCTGTATCTGCGGGAATCCCCGACTTCAGAACGCCTGGTTCGGGCCTCTATTACAATCTTCAGTCGTACAAGCTTGGTCGGCCTGAGGATATGTAAGACTACGTGTGTTGGTGTGAATATGGAAATTCTTTTTGGTTTCTGTACATTTCTACCCGAATTCTGTGATCAGTGAGGAAACTGCTGAGCTCAGCTGAGGAGAACATAGATTCAAGCCACTGGGCGTATTTGCCGAGTTGTCATTCAGGTTTTCGATGGACTTTTTTAAGAAGAACCCATATCCTTTTTATCATTTTGCTAAGCATCTTTGGCCGACCGGACAGCACAGGTAACCTCAGCGAACTACACTTCATGCAATTCACTGTTGTTGGTGTATAGGCCGACACCGACACATTATTTTGTTCGCCTCTTACAAGAAAAAGGCCTCCTGCACCGGATGTACACCCAGAACATCGATGGTTTAGAACGCCTCGCGGGGGTAAGGTATTTTCAGATTTTGGCAACCTAGTGGCTGTTCTCAGGTAAAGGATGAGAATCTCGTTGAAGCCCATGGGACGTTCTCTACGGCAAGTTGTATAAAGTGCAGATCCGTGGTTGATCCAATACAGGTAGTAGAAGCTAAGTGGCCGTTTCAGCTGAGTGTTTTCGCTGGTTAGGTGAGAGATGCTATACTGGCTGGCAACGTCCCGGTTATGTGCGACGTGTGTTCCTCTAATACAAAGTTCGACCCCAGCATAGTAGCTCAAGATGTGAGTTGGAAAAAGTGTGGTATGAACAAAGGGTTTTTTCTTCTTAGGTCGGGCTCATCAAGCCTGACATTGTTTTCTTCGGCGAATCCTTACCTCGGAGATTCCACACGCTTATGCAGAGTGACTTTGAGACCTGCGATTTGCTCATCGTTATGGGTACTTCTTTGAAGGTGGGTGGAATTACCAATGCTGAATGTTCCATTGACTTTCAGGTGGCGCCTTTCAATCGGCTTGTATCTGACGTGCCCGACACGACTGTTCGCTTGCTAGTGAATCGAGAGAAGCAACCAGGAGCCGGCTCTGATCCTATGGTCTTCGATGGTGACTGCGCTTATCGGGATATCTGGATGGAATCTGATTGCGATTCTGGTGTTGAGAAGATTGTTGATATGATGGGTTGGCGCAGAGAGTTCGATGACCTTTTGAAAGAGCGCGAGAAAGTTGTTGACATCACCAAGCCGACTCCTGCTCCTACTGTTGCCACATCTGCTTCTGATACGTCTACTGACCATACCACGACGAGTCGGCGGTCGAGTGATAGAAGTTCTCCTGGCGAGCCCGCAGACGATCGAGTTATGGCTTCTTCTGGCCGCATGCGCAAGGTGAAGTTCTATGATATGAAGACTGGACAAGGAGTTGATCCTGGTCGCTTTGCCTCGGTATTGGCTACTAATGCTACCCCAAAGCAACGAGCTGAGTATCAAGCACGAGTAGTGGAGAAGCAAAAACAATCAGCTCGATCTAGGATTCAAAAGGCGATGTATGGTGGTGGTCGCCGAGATCTTGAAGAGGCTCTGAAGGCTGGTAAAGAGGCTGGCCTGACTCGATGGGAGCTGGAGCCTGGCCAGGAGGTGTTGAAGCATCTTGATGAGAAACTGCCCAAGATGAGGGCGTCGGTTCCGGACACCCTAACTGAAAAGGATACTAGAAGGTTCCAGTCAGCTGCTGCGAGAATGGCTCAAGAAGTAGTAGTAGTGGTTTTGGGTCTTCGTACCGTGTTGGGATATAAGCTCATCGCAGGAGTTTGCTGACCAATTATAGGAGTTTACATAGAAGTGTTCAGAAACCTGCAAGAATTCCCCAAAATTTGCTCAGAATCTTCACATTTCAACCAACACGTGTAGTTTATCATGTGCTTATTTTCTCTTACTTGTCTTTGTATCGCGTGGAAAAGTTACCGACTCGGTTTTTCCCTATCGCAGAGATTCTCCATTTTCAGGATGATGCTGATTTATTGAAATCGTCCAAGAGGTTTGTGACGAGCTTCACAAGGAGCTTGTCTAATCTAGCGGGAGAATCCACTGACGACTCTGAGGGCGGCTGGGATGAAGAGGTGAAGGCGCAGGTGAACAAGTGTCAGGATCGGCTTAAACAAGCTATGTAGGAAGCAAGCTGCTCTTTAAACTGTTCAAAGGCCTAGTAACTTGACTGTTGTGTTGTTGTTGCTCTCTTCAGTAAGGAAGAGTCTATTACGCTTATCGAGCAAGAGTTGCTGGTCGCGGAGGGTCTCGGTGTGCCTTGGATCGACACTGTGGATGCTCGGAAGGAACTGGTGTTATTACAGAAGCGCCGCTCTGAGATGCATAGTCGGAAGTCGAGCCAAGGTAGTGATGGTCGTAAGGGGTCGGCTCTTGAAAAGCAGTCGACCATTGACATCAACTCACCGGAGCGATGCGATCTCGTATGGTGTACCATACCTGGTTGCTTGGAGGCTCATACGCATGTGGCGGCTTGGCATGTCTGTGAAATGTGTGGTTATGTCGGGCACAGTTGTGAAGAGTGTGGTATGGAGGATGGTGAATTGGAAGAGCTTAGGGTTTGTCGCTCTAAAGAGAGTATGCCGGAAGACCAACAATGTAATGGTCTCAGTGGCTTTGCTATGATGTTGATCTTGAAGTCGCAGGTTCAATCCAAGGATGCCAAAATCGGCAGTTCCATTCCTCTGAAGGTCATTTATGCAGAGTGTGTCGTTTGAGAGGCCACCCTGTTAAGTTGTGCCCGACTTGGGTAGCACGAGCCTTCAACTAGATGTTATTCGAAATTTCATGTTGATATCATGTGCTGTTCGCGGAGGTATTGTTGGGTTCTGGGGGGACCGAGGGGTATGGCAATACAGCGTTGTAGTTGCGTGTAACCTGCGTCAGTAGAAATAGAGCATCTGGTTTTCCTCGTCAACTTCACGGTGGTGTCCTCGGTGCTAATCCTATACGAGGACTTTTATAAGGATAAAATTTAGATGTACCATAACATTCTCATAACTTGAAACTCATTGAGTAGTGAAGACACGATGACACAATTTGTCAGAACACGTGATAGGTTACCAGGGGTTCTAGATCGGTCTCCGGGGCCGACACCCTGGCGCAATGGAAAGCTGTGTCATCATGTCTCCACTTCTCACGACGTAAGCTTGTATGCAAGAATTTATGAATGTATTTTGTGTTTGGATTTTATGTGGAGCGAATAGTATACACTAATTTGCAGTTCTAATGAGGGGATTTGCTCTCTTAGGAAACGAGTGGTACTCTCCAAGTCGTTTAGGTTATTCACATCCACCTATTTGCAATGCCAGCTCCTATCTCACCCGGCGGCATAGGTATCGCCGCTGCATGCTTGTCCATCAATGTAGTGATCTCCCTCTACATGAAATTGGATATTCATTGGCGAGTCGTAGTAGGCGCCATCAGATGTGTGTGTCAATTGCTCATACTAGGGTTACTCTTCGCCACAGTATTCTCGAGTGACCAGGTTTGGCCCGTGATCTTGATGACTGTGTTCATGCTCAGTGTTGCCTCTTTTGAAGCGTATCAGAGGCCTAAGCACACATACCCCGGGTTCATGCGCACTATAGGCTTGGCAATGACTGTGAGCTGCTTCCCGATGGCTCTCATTATGACCAACTTCGTGTTGTCTCTGGGCAGTATGTGGTGGCACCCTCGTTATTACCTCCCCATGTTGGGTATGATGACCAACAATGGTTTAAGTGCGATATCGCTCGCAGCTGATAGGCTACTAACTCAGCTTGTGGACAAAAGGGCTGCAATTGAGGCAGAGTTGTTGACGTCGAGTCACCCTAGACAGGTTATACTACCGATTCACAGAGAGGCAGTTCGGGTGGGTATGATGCCGACTCTCAACACATTAGCCGTAGTCGGTCTCGTTGCGATTCCCGGCATGATGGCAGGACAGTTATTGGGCGGCGCAGATCCACTGACAGCAGCGAAGTACCAGATAGTGGTCACTATCATGATCGCCTCTACGAGTTCTCTTGCGAGCTTTGTTGTCACTCGGTTGATGCTGAAAGATTTGGTCAACAAAGACGGCACTTTGCGCTTCGATGATCTTCACTTCAGAGGCTCTTCGGGGGCTGACTTTGTGACTAAGGTGGTATGCTTGTCGGTGGCTAAGCTCGGAGAAGTATTAAAGCTGGTTTTCTGCTGCGGTTGTGTGAGAAAGGCTCGTAGGGACGACGCTCCCTCGAGGACCCCTGAGCATACCAAAGGCCTTCTCGCACAAGCCTGATCGTAGAGATGAACCAATCGTAATCATTCAATGAGCGCGGGGTAATTTCGCGCTCTTATTTCTGTTTGGGGTTTCCCTTATTTGGTTATGTCACAGCTACAAGTACATTTGCCACTCGTTATCTACTGGGGTTCGCGGTTTTACGTTTTTCCGTGTTTCTTTGTCCCCAATATCTTCATCGACTGACTTTGTAGAATGTGAAGTGTATTCCTACACTACCATCTTTTATGCAAGTGTTGCTTTGAAAGGTCACCCTCGCTGTAAATCAACGGGTATGGGTGGGAAGGCATCGAAGAGTGGAACTCATGACGAAGAGTCTGCTAGAAACAGCACCACTGCTTGTGGGGGTCTTCGTACTGGTTATCCTCATGTCGATGAAGTCTAGACCAATTTTGATGTTTCTAGTCTTATAGTTTGGGCAGTCTTCAGTGTGTTGTTGACTAAACTCGGGTCGCCTGATAGGTGTAATAACAAGCTTATTTAATGCAAGTTTGCAGTGGGTGATAACGTTGTCCGAGTTGAAGGCTGTTAAGACTATGAATTAGTGTCATCCAACCCATTCTCATAGTGAAGATCTGTATATTCGTACTCCCTTTACAGTGTAAAACCTGGCATGTACTACGAAACTCAGATCGTCCTTTGCATCCACACTCCTGTGGACTTGTTCTCTCATACCTCGTGTCCAATGAACATCACTAATTTAAACACAACAGCGTTTCTAAACACTATCAATTACAGCCATAATATGATGGCGATTATCATCATGGATGTCTACAACTTAGATAAGATGCTTCCTATCTACTGAGGATACGAATGATAATGAATGCTTCTGCAAAGCATCCGTGCTTTAAGCACAGATCGAAGAACTCCATAAGAGAATCGATATGTCTGAGCTCCACGTGCATCGCACTTGAAGCTTAGCAGACACTAAAGCGGCACTCTAAGTGCCGTATAGGGATTGGTACAATACCCGAGTACCAGGGCTGTAGTCCATCTGAAGGAGGCAATTCGTTCATGAACTCACGTCTTAGTTCATCTCACAGCATTCCGACACGTAGAATCTCGCTGAATCCTGCGAGTGCCACACAGACGGCCACCACGAATAGAATGATGATTACGCTGAGGAGGGCCGCTGTGATTATACTGCCTGAGACAATGGGGTTATAACAAGAGTATCGTATTGGCATCGTAGGATGTGAGATTTCCTTACTTGTCGAGTGGAGGACATTGCGAATGAGCGGCTGTACATTCTCTTGATGTTGCTTGACCATCGTTGGTATCAGAATAGGTGATTGGGAGTGAGGGAAATATCCCTGCAATTTCCGCAACTTTGATTTTCCTCGTACAATCTCTGGCCCATGAGCACTCGAGTGGTCGTGACGTTTTCCATAGTGATGCTGCAAATCTTGAGGATCTTACTCTCACTCGCAATCCCTCAACGTCACGCTGTTCAGTTATCAGACGATTACTTGCTCGGACTATCCACTAGCTATTTGGAACCGTCGTTTGCAGGGTGACCCTGGGAGTCACCCGGCGGCACCCCGGCGGGCAGCTGCGACGACACTGCCAGGACGACCCTGCCAGGGTCGTCGCTACTTCCAATTCTCGTGTCGGTTGCGTCTGGACCACGAACAGGCACAAGATGGTTGGAGATGGCTGTTCGATGTAGGCCTTCACTGGAGAGTTGGTGCAGCTGTAGCTGAGTTGAGATTTCTTGAAATCTCAAGTTAGCCAACATCAGTAGTACTGATTCAGTACTAGATGTTGGCTGCCATAGCTGTGGCAACTTCTGCTCAGTAGGCATCTGGGTCATCTCATGCTTATCTATCAGCCAGTGGGGGAGATCCGCTCACATCTGGCTGGCAATTTAGCCGCTAGTTTGGCTCCTCGGCTGGGGCTTGGAATCACAGAGGGAATAAGTGTGGATCGGTTGCAAATAATTGGAAGACTCTAGATGACCATCTTGACGGAGAGGCCGAGTCCGATTGAGCCACCTACTGGGCTGAGCTGTGGCGTTCCAGCGCCGGCTACAAGACCGAGAGTTGTAGTGGAACGGGAACGGATAGCCTCAGTTGCGACTGTGAACAACGGTCTAGTTCAAGTGGTTGCCGACATATAGAGTTTGATGGTTGAGCTCCCACCGCTTGGAGTAACATGTGCGAAGTGCCGTGAACGTAGTTTGAGTAGAAACCATCGGTCCGATGAGAAGTTGGAGGTGTAGTCATGGGCAACTATGGGGATACGAGTCACCGGCGTCGCCAAACGAGACGTTTGGCATTACGCGAAGTATGAATCAGCTGCAAAGAAATATCGACAACTACTCCCGACACGTCATAGAACACGACAGGACAACCTCTAAAAGGACTATATTTTATAGTCTATGAGCTTCCTCCATAAGAAGCATAATGAAGATAATGTGGAGCGGACTTCATTTTATAGTCCACATAGTGGACTCCACAACTTCCATCGGCAGAACCTGATGATTTGTATACTGCCGATCTGGATGGCGTATACAGGATGGCGGTATTACATAGTATAACCGTGGTGACAGAGTTCATAGCTGAAATGATAATATGATCAAAAAATTCGTCTGATGTCGCGAGCAGGACACATGCTTCGTATTGGCAAGTTGTCAAGGTCACAACGAGAACCACCAATTACAGAAGCAAATACAGGAGCCTCACGTGTTGCAACAATTTTCGCATCTAAGGCCACAGATGAAGTCGTATTGCGAACAGATATGCATCCCGATGTAAGGATCCGTGTTCCTCAAGCAGTTCGTGCACCCATAGCAGTGATCTGGTTCCCGTGAAAGGTCTAACTCGTCCGGCCCAAGCCAACCATCATCGTCTAAACCGCGGTTGATAGCATCGTTGGTGAGACCGTTAATAACAGCGAAGATGAGCAGGAGAGATAGGACAAAGGAGGGCATGATGTTAGTTTGAAGCAGTTGGTACCACAACGCTGCAGTGTGGGAAGTGAGGTGGTTCGTCACTGTGGTATCCCACGGGAATAGCGCTTCCGAAATCGATCGTGCCGCCAGAGGACGTCTGTCTCCACTCAATCGATCCAACAAAGGATTGAACGATTGAGTCCCAATTGGGGCCTCAGTTTGAAGAGAGTGCTCACGACGTGCACTGCCACGCAATTGAAGAGTTTGCTCATGGAATGCTTAGGTCGTGATATAGAAGCCCGAGCGCTCAACCACCACATCCTCATTGTCGAGGGGACACATCGCATTAGCATGTGAGAGTTAGTTCACAGGTGAGATTCACCAAAACAGGGCGATTGCAACGAAATCGCTCGTTCTCGGGCAAGCCAAGCCATTAATTCGAAGGCGGTATGTTTGAAGTCGAATAAGCTACTCGAAGACTTCGAGTCGAAGTTGATGAACTCCATTGCATGAATTCATCGAGTACCGTCAAGCTGAGCATTTGTAAATTACAACTTGTGATACTAAGACAGTCTCTGCCTCTGTCAGAGACTTTTAACCGATATGGCCATGGATCTGTGAGACATCGATGCTGTGATAAAGCATTACAGCACAGTCCCAAATGACGACTAACTCTACAACTAGTTATATACGACGTATACATAGATAAAACGTACCCTACGTGGAGCATATCGCACAAGAATGATACGCCATTGCTTTACAGCGTGGAGCATTCGTTACGCACATACACGAGGTGCGACTCCAGCTTCGACACCTCATGGTCTGATGCTACCAATGGCCTTGGCGGATACTCAACCAGGTAGTACCTGGCAGGTACCGAATCGGTACTACCGATGTCTCTCAATGCTTGAGCGCAATAGTACGTGATGTAGCCCAATGGTACGATCGCAATGTGGACTCCACTGTGGAGTCTTCACACTCAAGCACGCAAGCACAAGAGACAACCTCTCTTTCAACTGCTAGGAAATATTCTATGACTCATAGACTATGAGCAATGCTCATTGACACAGGCGTTGCACTCTCGGCATCGTCGATGCTGGGATACCCGCACTTTTGTCCGAGGGCCGCTAGACGGCTCACTGACGGGCCAACGGCGGAAAGCCAGGGCCGTGGTCCGCGCATAATGTTGTCCGCGCAGTGTTGCAGAGATGACTAAGATGGTGCGAGTCCATGGGCGGTCCAGGCTGAGCCTTTCATGAGTTGTCCACAATTGTCGACCACGTTGACCACTTTCCTGCCAAGTTGACATTGACGATGCATGAGGGTCAGATTGTCCCCTAAACACCCAACGAGCCTCACTCGCTACTAGCGACGGAGGTTCGTCTAGCGAGTCGCTAGAGATACCAATCCGCTACTTTATTTTCCGTCACACTATACATCCAACACCTTCCTCCATGAATTCTCTTTGCGAGTCCGACGAGCGTCAGGCGATTGTCCACATCGTTGGAATGGACATCGTCGATGACCGTGGGAGGTACGAAAGCTTCTTTGCTCCTCTGGACCAAGTTTTTGGTGATATTGCCAACGGCGAGATTGTCAGGATTACAGACAGAAGGGGCGACTTGAGGATCGTAGTAGTGCTCCTCGTCGCTTTTGTCGGTTACAGCGATGAGATCGACTATGATGATCACGGTATAGCTTTTCTGAATCGTGCGTCTGGAATATTGTGGGATAGAAGGTTCTACGTCGCACCTCCTGGTTGGGAGCAGTTATGGACCGGAGTTGCAGAGATAGATGGCCACTATGTTCCTACCTATTTCGTCTTGATGACAAGGCGGACGCAGCAAGAGTACGAACGAGCACTACTGCAAATTCGTACCGACCTTGCTCAATGTCAACTCTTCCACATTGTTAGCACATTGTATTACATAACGGACTATGAAATTGCGATGCGAAATGCATTGGTATAAATGTGGGAGATTGGTGAAGAGCAGCTTAGAGGATGTCTATGGCATCTTGGTCGCTGTTGGGTCCGTAATATGCAAGATGAATTGGCGGCTGAATACCGAGCCCCCAGGCACTTGAGAACGGATAAAGGACGGTGGACTACCGTCGGTGGTTACATCGAATATGCGGGATTGCGTGCCTACCTGTCGACGACTGTCTTGCGGCCTGGCAGCACCTACAGCAGACCGCGCCGCAAGGTGCTGACATAGAGCGTTTTATAGCCTACATAGAAGTCAACAATGTAGGCCCCAACGCCGTATTCCCGCCTATCCAATGGTGTGCCGAGTCGTCCATTGATGCAACCCAGCGTACCACAAGCCCTGTGGAAGGACTACACAGTGATCTCAACCATAGCTTCACAACAGCTCATCCTCCCGTCAAGGGGTTCTGCGAGAAGCTCAAGATTGTCCAATCAAAAGCCGACACTCGTTTGAACTCTGTGATGGATGGAACTCCACCTCGTGACTCCAGGAGCAAAGAACAGCGCAGGTTGCATCACTACCAGGACTACCGAGCTGGTAGGATAAACTTGGACACCTACTTGGAACGCATAAGCGAACTAAGTGGAATCCGAGTGAGAGATTTATAGCACCTTGCTGACCGTGCAGTTTCTGAAGTTTCTATAGATTGGTCAACCGTGTCTGGTTGTTAATTACATTAGTGAGTTTTGCCTAGGGTGGGCCCTTTCCGCCAGAAAGTTTCTGGGGCCAGTTGAGAATCTCAACTGTCTCCGGAAACTTGAGATTTGTCAAGTGTGCCAAATCGTAGAGAGTTGTAGTGAATATCATCAACCCAGCACTTTCAGGGGCAGTTGAGATTTGTCAATCGTTGACAGGCATAGTTGAATTCAAGATTCAGGTAAGGTGTATCCATGACAGAGACGAGTTGTTGGGAGTCGGGTCGCCACGTTCCATATGCGCACTCTTGCTGACTTTCCCGCGAAATGCCAGGTCGAGTATTTGAACGTAGCCGAATAGCGAACTCAGCACATGTTGAGTAGAGTTGCCAAAACTGCTGGAACGTGGTGCGTGTCTCACACTAATTCACATTTCAGCACCTTTAAGACTGTGATGTGGAGATATGAAAACGCAGGTGCTAAGGTTGGCGAATAGTGCTTACCGATTGCGCACTGGATTGCTTGCGGAGAACCAGGTTTCACCAACTCGCCAAGCTTGGTGATTTCGGGTCCTAATGAACTCTCGCCAACACGCTCAATCATGGGATACGGCCGCTTTTGAACCATATTTCACCTCTTTGGCATCAACACCTAACGAATTTCACCGAGAAGTGGCGGAAACTGGTTGAGGTAATCCGTAGTTTCGTTCGCCCAAATGATCTATTCCGTTCTGTGCGCACGGTTACAGCAACTTGGTATTGGTGTAACATGCCAGTGGCTCAGATATTGCTATAAAACTTGGTGAACTTATCGGTATTCGCCAAGTACGTGTCGTAAAACGCCGATATCTTGGTATAATCATTTGTTTATGAAGATTACACCATCTTTGGCGATATCCGCTTTCTATCGATCACGGTTGGTATATTCCCGAGTCGGAGTCGAATATCGCCAGGTGATTTGTTCAAATCTGGTTTTGTGACAGGCTTTCGACACAACTTTGTGATGATTCCTGTCCGACGAGAGTTGTATCAAGGCCGCATACCGCCAAGTTGGACTCAACCGCACACTTCCCCGGGGGAAGTGTGCAACGAAAAGCAGAACCAAGGGGGAAGTTCCCCCTTGGTTCTGCTTTTCGTTGTCTGTTCTCAGTGACTTTCGATGCCTTTGGACTCTGAGTTCAAATGATTATCATGTCTTGTGGTAGGGCGATAGACGGTCTATCATAGACCGACCGAGACTCGATCGGTCTATGATAGATCGATCATCGAGTACAGGAGAGTTCGCGCGGGAAGCCCAGGATCTACTTACATGAGTTTTACCACGGCAGAGTTAATCCTTTGTAAACTTTGCCGAGCCGGCAAGGCCCAACGAGGAAGTTGAACAGCGTCGTATGGCCTTGTATGAATCGATCGGTGATCTCCGATCATCATATCTCCATAGAGATTCTCCTTTTCGATGGAATGCTCCGACCAAAGCTCGAGTTCAATAATTCATGGCTGAATAACGCTCCGACCAAGGCTCCGACTAAGAAGCAGCTCAGGCTTATTTGGAAAGACTGCGGCAGCACTTGAAGGAGGTTCAACAAATTGGGTCACAATACATCAAGCAGGTGGCAGGGAAGCGAGCGCTGGAACATAGAGAGGATATGGAGCCTGAAGAGGTGTTTCATCCTAAAGCTCAGGTACCTGAAACTTTCAGGTAGGTTGTCCTAACAGGATAGTATCCTAGTGTTGGTGACTTGAGTTCAGGTAGGCGACAAAGTTGCCTTCAAAAGAGACTCTTCGGCCACAGTACATAGCTCTAAGTTCCAGAAGCGCAAGTTCCATGGGGTGCATCTAGTGACCAAGGTGTTGTCCCCAATCAGTTACCGGTTACTAGTTACCGTTACCTGGTTACCCCATTACCAGTCGTTGCGTCCCGAAACGACCTTATTGGTAACAGCGCTGTAACTCCGGAACTTCTTATTCCAGCAGAGGTACGTAATAGATCATCCCCAACTACTTCAGTACTCAAGTCATTACCGTTAATAGATGCCATAATCAACAGGCAGAGTAGTAGAGACATAATGGGAAAAAAGGTGCAATGATCAATGGCGTGACGCCCTTCTTCTTGGGGACAGCACGCATGTCATCACGCGGAGGCACCGATAGCAAGTTCGGTGGAAAAGTAAAGACATACAACTGATAGCATTGTCGTGATGACTCAACAAGATACTATTTACTGTCTCTTGGATCTAGGAGTGACAATCACCCCCCGACAATGTCTATCACTGTATATATCCTCTCTGGCTGAGCAGCTCAATCGATTCACAGCTGAGCTTGCCGTCCGGTTCGAGGAAAGTATCAGAAGTTGAGAACTTCACCTGGGACTTAGAAACCGTAACCAGCCTTCTTTCACGCGGCTGTCTACGAAACCAGAACAGAGGAGTCGGAGACGCATACGGTTCAACCTTGACCTTGCCACGCAGGGGATCGGCCACGACCCTACCAACATCAAGAGACTTCACCTGGCCGTCAAGTTCCTCAACCTCAAACATAATCATCATGTCAGGAGCGAGAGAGTTAAACTCGACCTTCATGGCCTGATGGTCGTCTCCGGCGACATCAGAATAGCGAGGGTCAGGGCAATAGGGAACACACTGGCCACGACTAACAGGATCTTCCTCACCACGTAGGTAGACGAGAGAGCCATCGACGTTTCCAATACGGAAGGGACCCAGAGCCACCCGGCCACTGTAACCACGTTGCTGGACAACGAAAACCAAATCGCCCTCGTGCAGGTCACTGCCGTAAGAGCCAGAGCGCCACTTTTCGGCGCGCGAGATAGCATTAGCTCGGCTGCGATCTCTAGATCTTCGTTTCTGCTCAACGATGACGTTCAGCATGTTTTCGATCTTCTCCGGATCCGCCGGACCCGGATCGTCATCACCATAGGCAACCTCCAGTAAGGTCTTAGGCTTCTTTCCTGTGACAATCTCATAAGGGCAATAGGCACATCCATCTGCAGCAGAAGAATTATGGAGAAGTCGGGCAGCTGCTACGAGAGCCATCAGCTGGCCCGCGCTGGTAATGACCTCGCCAGAGCGACGAATGACATACTTAATCTCCTTCACCGCAGCCTCAGCGATACCATTTCCTCTCGGCCAATACGGAGGTGATAATGTCCGCTTCACTTGATGACGTTCAAAGAGAGATTTCACAGTCGCCGAGCAGAAGCCTGCATCGTTATCATGGGTGATTGAATCGAACCACCCCCATCGACTTACCCAAACATCATAAAGGGCCAAGGCAGTCGATTGAGCGGATCATACTTCTGAACTTTTCGAGTTTCGAGGCTCGATCTCGAATCGATTCGGTCCCAGAGGTTATACAATCGATTGGTCCAATATCGATACCGGTAACCGAGAATCGATCTCGAATCGATTCTTTCGATTTAGGGGCGCCGGTTCGATCCAAGGCTCCGGCATTTTTATGTATTTTCTATTTCGAAAAGTTGCGCACAATGGAACCACTGAAACCCGGCACCTGCTCATCCGCGCCCCTAGATTCGTCGCCCCTAAGGTACTCAATCCGCCCCTAAATTGCCCAATCTGCCCCTAAATGACTCGTACCGGCCCCTAACTTTTCAAGCTACCCGAGCGTCCCTGAAGCTTCACTGCAAGCATGTCACGTGGCTTTGTTGACTGCCATGACATCTTGAGGAAAACTCATGTGCATCACGCTTGACCCTGGCCGTCTGAAAGATACATGTTCGAACTTGACCAGCCACTGGCTTGAACGTTTCGAAACCTTGGCCGACGCAATGATCAATCTAGTTTCACATCGTTGTGTTGAGCCGTGCTATCTACTGATCTTGGCCGGCGGCCAATGGCCGCCCTGAACACGTACTGAGCGTACTGAACTCCACCACGTAACTACATTTATTAGCTAAGCATACTGGTATGGGTCACTGAGACAGAAACTGTCAGTCTCAGAGAAGCTGTAACGATAGCGGATGACTCATCCAACTTTAGAACGCATGTGGCATATTTAGGGACGGATTGAGTAATTTAGGGGCGGGGCGAAGAATCCGGATTTTTGAACCTATGCTATATGCGATAACTATTAGAGTTATTAGGCTACTTAGTAGCCGCTACTAGGGATATTGAATTTGCGGTGTGGATTATGCTCAGAAATAGTATTTGGATAATCTTCTTCTGAATTACCGAAGAACTATCTCGAGGGTTCGTCGAGGCTCGAGGCAAACGCGCAATCTGACCGAACCCGGGGAATACCATCCTTCCGACCCGGGGAATCGGCATCTGCAGAATATCTGGCTGTCGCCGCAATTGGCAGCGTGCCACAGCAAAGCGACTCGCCTCGGGCGAACAGCAAGGTCGTGCGCGGATATTCAGTATCTCGCTGATGGAGTCTATCCGAGTCAGATAATCAGACAGCCTCCCAGTGCCTGTGGCTATCAACTGAGCGGTCTAGCCTCGACCCTTACTTTTTCTTCTCGTGGAAGTGCTTTGCTAAAGGCATCCTGAATTGTTGCAATAATATGACAGGTGCTGTAGACCCTATAAGTAACCCTCAATGCTGACGTAGGAGAGCATTTCAATGAATTTCGAATTTCGAGGTGGATCGATTCCTCGAATCGAATCGATTCGTCTGCCCGCCGCAGCATCCTCGATTGATTAGCACCGAACAATCGATCGATTTTCGATATCTCGATCCAATCGAGCCTCGGTCCGATGTATGCCTTGGAGACACCGACTCCATCATCGAAGGAGGACTGCTCAACACAGAATCTATATTGGAGGTCGCGCTGCCACCCTGGCAACACCGCCTCGACCGTACACCTCTGTCAACGGCGTCCAATGCATCTCGCATCAACCATGAAATACCAGGCGGGCCTGCCTTCGTATTCCTACCAATAATACGCACCGCTTTCTCCGAATACAATATATCTAACTGAAAATATTTTAAGAAGTCATGCCCCTGGGGCGTTGCCCCAAAATCACGGGGAACGCCAACGATTCTACAATAAAGGCTGTAATCGAAGAGGGAATACTCAACTCCTCAGCAGCGGAGCGGGCTCTCTCCCCCACCCCTGTTGCTGTAATCAGATTAATCGCTAATGTTGCCACACCAATAATCTTACAAGAGGACTCGTCTATTGTAATCAACGACGGCCCATTCACGGGGCCATTTTCACAGCCAGCATTGCTGGCCCAGCAAGCATCACATCACGTGCTACCATCGTGGCACAGCAGCCAGTATCCACGAGGCAGCGAACAGGGCCAACAGACTGAAAATTTGACACAAGTTGTACAGACAAGAGTAGACCAGAATCATCTCCAAAATGGTACAAAGTCAATGTTTTCTTATGATCAAAATGGGTCAATACTTTAGCGACTGGCGACCGCGGGCTGCTGGGCGGCCGCCCCGCTAATTTCCCTGTTCCGGCGTCACACCCTCCTTAATCTTCTCCAGCAGAGCGGGGCGCTCAGGACACGAGCGGGACAAGTGTGCCTTAGAGCCACAGATGAAGCAACCCTGACTGCACTTCTTATGAGGACAGTTATAGGATGCATGCTTCCCCTCACAGATCCCGCACGGCATCAGCTGTCTCCTGGGCTGCGTGAGTCCTGCACGCATGTCCCTATCCTTACGCCCAGTGTCTTGCTGAGCCTTGAGGAGGTCCTTCAGGGACCCGAGCAGGGCATTCTGCGAAGTATGCATAGCGTTGATAGCCTTAGTCTGAGATTCGATAAGCGAAGCCAACTGCTTGTCCTTGTCTGGGGAAGGTTGAACCACCGCCCCGGGGCACGCATGCTCATCCTCGGACACAGCCGCCGCAGCGTGCTTGGCCGTCCGAGACTGCTTTCCTCTGTAATCCTCTATAATCTGGCAGACCTCAGTGATACCCTCAGGTCGACGTCTTCTCAAAACCGGCCTGGCTCCCTCCGGGGTACAGGCAATGAGCCGATCCAACAACATCCGACTTTTGACCGAAGGGGGAAGTTTCTCCTCCGCCGGTAACATCTTGATCGATTGATGCGTCACGTCACCATCTGGACGTCACGCTTTGTGGTTCCTTACGGCATTGCGTGTGGTTCCTCACGGAATTACCTTGCTTCCGAGCTTTGGTGTTTTGTACTTATTCGACCTTCGGACTAACGTACTGTCGAGTTCACTAGTAATAGCAGAACGATCTTGGTCACAGTAGTTCTCCTCTCGACGGACTACAGGTATCTGTGATGGGGGCGCGTCAGTGACGCGGCGTCACGTGGCACGTCACGTGGCACGTCACGTGGCGTCACGTTACGCCTGAGAAGCAAGACGTGCACGCATGCATGACGAGTCGTTCGTTGCAGGAAGAGCCTTTGAAGTCGGGGGCCCCGACTCGGGGCTCGGAAGGGACGGCCGGGGCTTACTCTGGCCACCTTTTTTGGGCCGTCCTTTTTTTGACGTGCGACGTGGGGCACGTCGCACACGTCGCCGATGGCGACTCGCCACGTCACGTGGCGCTGTCGCGCTGTCGCGCTGCACGCATCCTGCAGACTCTGCAGTGCAGAGTGTTCCTGGTGTTACCGGAACTTCCCGCCGTTTGTGGCGATAACTCAGGATGCCTTGTGGGAATTTCATAATACGATAGACATCTGTGTCTCGGTGTAAAACTCGAGACAGAATTCTGCAGATGATAGGGGAGCAGACTAGACATTTCGACCGCCCCCCTTCACGAAGTCTCTGCTGGGCCTGTCGTTTTTGGCTGTCGATTGGCTACGTCGTTCCTCATCGACTTCAGAACCAGTAGAACTCTCGAGAGCTGCTGTCCGGGTGTATAGTCCTTCCCTCCCGTGCTCAGAGCACGGTGCTCTTGGAAGAGGCCTCTCATGAAGTGGTTATTGCTTTGTCGTTCTCGCTTCCCGGGGGCGCGATGTAGCGGTGGGGCGCGGCGCACGCTCAGCTCTTTCAATTCTTCGTTTCTCGGTTGACAAATCGGGGAAAATTGAACTGACGATGATGCCAACGACATGATTCTTATACTCTCATGTCAGTTATATCCACTTTTGAGTGATACTATGAACATCTACTTCATTCACTCCTTCATAGCTACTTCTTTCTTGGTGCTATGCGGACCTAAAACACCCGGAGGAACCTGCCAACCTGAAATACCCGAAGGAGACTACTACACAATGGTCACTCCAGAAACCTGTGCCCAGTTAACCTGGCGGTCGATGATATCACAAGGGTTATATTCGGTGAACATCCGTTTAAGGTGCAAAGTAGAAATGGGACCGCTAACCTTGATAGTATATCAACGTGCGCCTGGATTATTCAAGGTCACGCGAGCCAGCATGGCCGAGCTCGAGCGATTCGTCAAAGACGGTGCCTCGAAATGCCCCGGTATGATAAAATTTGACACCGAGTTCGACTTCGCGAGGTACGCTTACATCGGATCCCAGAATCTTCTAGTAACTACGGTTGGCGGTGTCGGAGCTCTCACCGATTTCAAGCAGGGGAAGTGCCCGCAGGATCTATGAGGCATCACACTGTATCATTTTTTAATCCTTATTACTTATTAATTCCGTACTTAGTCCACAAGAGAGTATAGTGTTTCACAGTCAGGGTCACAAGGGTCGCAGCCGGAGCTACCGGAATCCTTACACTCATAAATCACGGCTCACCAGTTGATTTGGCTCGCACTGTACTCGCAATGCCTGGCCGTCGGCCAGTGGCCGAGCTTCTGGGGGGGCCGAGGGTTCGACTGTTGCAGACGCCCGTAAAACTGTGCTTAACACAACAGCACAGTTGAGCCGAGAGTCGTAGAGCTCTATTCCCAAGTCGTAGAGCTAATGAAATGCCCATTAAAATAGCATCCTTGGTTTGTTCAAGCTCCGCTACTCTTAAAACATCAACCGGTAATTTGAACAAACTTTTCGCTACTTCTCCGGTATCGACGAAGCTTGCCTCTTTTTCATCTGAGGTTTCATCTTACGCGCTGACTGCAACGTCCGAGCTACCAGCTTTTTATCCGATATCGAAATATCACCAAAACCATGTAATTGGTTGAGTGTCTTCCGATATCGTTGTGTACTGCAAATTTGTTGATTCCACCAAACCCCTCACAAACATAACTTCAAACCAGACAGTGGAAATTCCATTCTCATGGACTTATAATATTTATACGCAGATTCATAACCTTCCTTTGTTTCCACTGTCAGCAGAAACAAAGAAAGGTTATGAATCTATCAGTAGACTACTGAAATAGAAAGCTCTAGGAAATCAAGGAGATTCTTTCTCCCTCTTCCGTTTTAGCCCTAGCTTGATGAGAAGCCCACTCAGCAGACTTGGAGACCATCTATTTTAACCCAAAGTACTTCGGCACTTATTCAACACAAGAAACGCAACAAATTACTGATGAGGGAGAATCCGTTTTCCATTCGACACGCACCGAGAATCAAACTGCCAACATCGGATTATTCTGACACACTAATCTGTTATGGTCTTGGATATTCATTTCGTGAGACAGATTCGTTTAATGACCGTGGTCGTGGCATGAAGAAGCACAGTGGGAGCCAATACACAGCGCTGTCGATCCAGAACGGTATCCGCACTGAACACTCGCAAAATCATGTATAAGCAGAGTCCGAAAGTATTCGCTTCAACATATGATTCGACTACCCCTTGCTCAGATAGGAAATACGATATACGATAGGCTAGGAATTTACCCTTTCCTGTTACTTATCCTATTTACTGGGTGAGCGAGGGCAAAAGCTAGAGTCTAGTCTTTTCAACTCGTCAGACATTCGAATAGTCTTCCGATTCATCACTACCTTGAAAAGGGTCTAGCAGGTACCCCCATAGCTTACGCAGATTGATAGTGCTCGAAATGCAGAACATGAATCGCTTCGCTCCGCACTCTCGTCGCGCATGATGAAAATCTTCTACCTAACTATCTTGGCTTCTATTTGTGTCGTTGCAATGTCGTTGTTGCGTCGCGCTGCATGCCCGCAGAGGGTCATACCCAAACGTGTATGCGAGGCTGTTAAGAACCCTCTAATCGGAGGGCCCAATCAGAAGGCTCGTGGTGCTATCACCAGTGGATTCGCCGGTGGAGGTGCCAAGAGGCTGTGAGTTACTCCCGACTCTATCTGGTGGGATCGTCTGTTTCAGAGGAGGCAAAGGTTATGGCATTATGGCTGATTGGTGTGATCACGGTTACAGTTTCACTAAGGGTCAGGCGATCACAGGTAGGGGAGTTTCTATCGAAGCCACTGTTGATTTCTCTCAAGGTATGCCTCATTGGCCTCTATGGTGTGGCGGTGGTGTTCCCGACAAGTTCATAAAGATAGACCCAGATGTCCACTTCAATTTGCAAGTACGACTCGAGAGTGCTACTGAATCTATCGTTGTGTATGGCAGGGTTATCGTGAGCGTATCGGATGGTATGGATTCTTCACCGCCTTCCTGCAAGCCAACTACCACGCGTTTGTCTACTTTGTGAGATTCATTCCCATCAACATAGCAATTTTCTGGATCTATGTCAACGTAAGTCGAGAACTGGAGTTGGCTTGCATATTCCTGTGTGAAATCTCTTAGGAACGTCAGAGAGAGCCCCAAGAGAACGTTATGGACCACGAGGAGTTCTTCAGGGACTTCGACTCGATTTATCTTGGACAAGTGTAAATGCCGTTCCCCTAGCAGTCGCCGTGGTAGCTGATTCATTATTATTCTGTTCCAGATTTGACCATCACCGATTCGCCGAGTGGCTAGCTCGTCGTCGTGCTGTGAAATGGGGCTACGCGGATCAGATCCATATACCTCCTGTGCACTAACACCTGACGTGATTTACGAGCATATCAGCCGTATGAGGAGAAGAGGAAGATCGTTATTATTTATTTGAGTACAGCCAGGGGCTATGGCCCCTCGGCCAGAACCATTTCATAGGAGGTGGAAGATGCGGAACAGTTGGATTGTCTTGCTACTATTATCAGTGCTGTGTTAACGGCGGAACGCCAAAGTGACTTATACATAGTTCACCCCTGATATTGCAGCGTTATTACAAGTCATGTATGAGGCTTTGCAAGTAGCCCGTAATCGTCATGACCCTGGAACTTGGTTTTCACCGTGTCCATCGGGATCGTCGTCGCCTGGGTTCATTCATAGTGTAGAGGAGCTGAAATTGGAAGACTATACTTGAGAGCTGTCGAGTCTCGAGTCCTCTTCAATTACTAACACTCATAGCGATACCGATATGCTCTCGGGAGATGCGCGCCATACTGGAGCTGCAAGTAAATTTCACTCTGAGAAAGGCTTTGCCCACAGCAGGTTGCAGGGAATCATCCAGGAACCTATAATGTTACCGCGGAGAACTCATTTTTTTGTATTTGTCACGTGACTATGAATACATTCTCCGATTAGTTTCCCATGTAAATGTTACCACATTAGGAACATTTCCTCATCATTATCAAACCCTGGGCAACGTGATTCCTCAAAGCTGGACGTGTCTCTTGTGCGGTAAATGATCCAGACAGCGACATTCAAGATGCTCAGGAGGATTTCTCCTGGAGTTCTCGCAGCCCCTGGCCCTCCGCAGAACACTCTTTGTACGCAGCTTCTGTGGGGATGTGTATCTCACTTTACTCAGCGGGATGTTCGTAAATGTTCTTCACGAAACTTTTGAGCGGTTTGGCGTTAAATCTGTTATTATTAATCCGGAAGGAAGCTCGCAGAAGCCCTTCTCGATGAAGGTGTAATAGTCAAGGTTATCCACATTGACATGTCTCAAAACTCTAACACAGTTCAAAGAAGAATGACTCCCATGTCGAGGCGGAGTACACGAGCTGGGGACTGCGGTTGTTCGAAATTAACGCCAGGATGGGGGTGGCTCTGTGTGGATAGTGTACAAGTTGACATTTAAGGGTTGATCTGGCAGTTCAGGCCATGCAACTATTATTGATTGGAATACCAGCAATTCCCATACATGACTCGAACTGCCTGCGGTGGCATGGCTCTCCATTAACGAACCAAACAGTGGCCGCATCACCAATTTTTTTCAATGGCTCGATTTACTCTGTGTGAGTGCCGAAATTTCACCTCTAATGGTCTCAAGGGGAAAAGATTGTAGGAGCAGAAGCCAACCCATGGCTAGTTGATATTATCCTTGTCCTTCCCAATCCGGTGGAGGCAACCCGCTACTATGCTTTATCGTGAGGTGGAATTAGAGTGTGCCAAGCATTTCATATGAGTTCTGCCGCTCAGAGTCGCTATCCACCACTGGGCGCAGCAGTTTGTCAGTGTCTGGGATAATCATCCACGAGGAACTATCTCCCCCCCCCTTTCACAAATAACAGCAGTCGTTATTGCTTTCTTCATTAGTGCAGGAGAGTCGTTTTCCAATAGGCCCGGAACGCTTCACATTAATGCATGAACTCAACTTCCTTTCCGATGAAGAAACCGTTCCCGAGGTGGTGGTAAAAGACTCACTTCAAATGGACGAACATGAGCTTCTTCCTGATTTCGAATCGTCTCTTTGTTACATCATGGGCCGCCCAATACGAACACAACGAAATCCAGAATGTCTGTCAGAAGATCATCAGACCATCGCGTACAAGTTGCGCTGAGGCGTTGAGGAGTTGCAATACTGCAAGATTTTGCCCCTCCCTCTCCTCGAAATCGGTACCATGTTATCGCCTGGTTCTTTTCCCCCTGGTCCTCATTCAGCTCTCCTGCTGAGGAGGTCGCGCTTAGGGTGGTCATCGATTTGGATAAAGCCAGCAAGTGGGGGCTTCCTATTGTTCTGTCTGGTCGACTTCCATCGATTGCAGTGTAGTCCAGCATGTCGCAGTCTCTCATTGTAGTAGTGAGTATCTCCAACTCTCCACAATGGCACGTGCCTACTGCGGTCGCTTCGCATTCATGTTGGACTACCCCAAGTCGTACCATCCCCCTCGGAAGAACGAGGATGGAGACTATGTCGATCCAAGAACTGACATGCTTCCTAAATGTGCGGCAGAATGTTCCGAGTGGCTCACTGAGTAGGTTTCATTCATCGACGTTATTTGCTCGACTCTCTCCCGCTTGTGATGAATTGGCGGCCGATTCACCGCAAGCAGGAGAGACTTTGATTTGCTTGAAAAAAGGAGAAGTATTATAGACCAGTGAATGGTGAACATTGTGATGAAATGTTCACTAATTTTCCTATGTTGTTATCCCCTTCGCTGTAGGTACAACGCCTGCGTCCAACGTATCAAAATGCGTACTGATGGTCGTGGTAACTGCCAAGGTCAGTACGAAGAGTTCGCGATGTGTCAAGATCACTGCATTGCGCATGAGCTGTTTCACTACTTGAAATAGCATCGGTGTGGTCTTCGGCGGTGTACTATTTTTCACCTCAGCATCGTCGACAGCGAATAGGAGTATCATCTAGATGAACTACGCACAGGCTGCGGTGTGACACCCCAGCCCTTAACCTGGCATATTGTTTTTGAGGTCCTTTTTATGTGATCGGGTTTTGGGTTAGGGGGAATTCGTATTAAGCATCGTTATAGTGTTCTCTTAGGATGAGGCATTGACTGCATCATTTCAATGGAATGAAAACGATATGTATTTTTGATAAGTGGAGACAGCGTAACACAATAGTTCACTAGCTTGCTCGATTCCTCGTCTAGAAGTCCTCAGTGTGTGGTAAACTTTATAAAGCAGGATATTTGTCTTGCTCTCATCTTTGGTGGCTATCCTTTGACACTTCAGCTGCGAGATGGTTTTTGGCAAGTTCTTTGGTCTACAGGGACAGCAGTATTCCTATCGTGGTTTCTACACTTTACTCTGTGCCTCTTACATTGGTGAGAGCCTTTTCTTCAACATAGTAGCGTTGATCATACTATGGTTGATGGGTCGGTACTTAGTTTACCCCGAGTTCCCAGCAAAGGGTAGGAGTAAGAAGACCGAATGGCTGTGGCTCGTCGGTATCGTTGTGGTCAACTTTATTCTGGCTCTGCTACTTATTGGCCTTTTCGTCATCTTTGGCGCTTTCACATTTGGTGACTATTATGGTTGGATATATTTCGCTTGTATGCCAGCCTTATATCTGTGCTTTCTGGTAAGCGTCTTTTTCCTCCGACGGTCCATCTGCTACGACTGGGCTTTCGGTTTCTTGATATATACTGCTGCTTTTCAAGCATGGTTCCTCATCCAGATTCCTACAATGTTCAACTACGTTTACCAGTACTTGACTTGGTTGGTTGGTATAGGAGCGTCGCTGCCACTTATGGCTGCCGTATGGCATAGTTTCTGCGGATATTGGTCGACTAAAACGCTGATCAAGAAATGGTGGTTTTGGCTTGCCGAGGTCTTCACTCTGGCGTTTGGAATTTTCATCACCTACTGTGTAGCGGGCACATGTATTGCGCCGTATAACCCTATGGAGAACGGTTGGTGGATCCAGATGGAGCAGTCTATATTTTGGTCCTCGAGATTGTTCCGTAGCTTCACTTCGAGTGCTCAGTTCTGTCCTCCCGATCAGCTTGAGCCCTGCCATGTGTTCCTCACGCCAGCTCAGAATTTGACTGACAGCATGTTTGTCAATGTGCACATGGGTTCTAATACTCGGTCCGTTAAAGTTCATTACAATATGAAAGGTGGTCCTCAGATTGGTGTTATCGACGCTGATGAATTTGAGGTTCCTATGTTGGATTTCAGAGATCAGCGAAATGTTTATGCGGCGTTCCTACCAAATTTGACTCCAGGAGGTGTGGTTGAATTCACACTCGAGTCGGACAGGAAACACTTTGATGAGGTTTATCGCTTCCGGACGGCAAACTTGACCGGCACTGTGCATTTCACTGATGGTGGTGATGCTGGTACTTCGACCTATGTGCAGGAGGTCAATTCTCATGTAGGAGAGTATGATCCTCTCTTCGCTGTGGACGCCGGTGATGTTGCTTATGATAACGGTCTGTTTACTTGTGCCTGTGTTTGGGATAGTTTCCTTACTAATTACGAGACGATCAAGACCAGTGATGGTTATATGGTGCCGCTGATTGTTACGACTGGCAATCACGATGTTGGGGCGAATCACCACAACAAGGGAGCTATTGCGGGCTTTATGGACCCGAAGCAGTGCAATGATCACTCGCTATATAATGCCCGGCCTCCGATCTTCGCATACTTCCCATTCGAGGCTGTGAATGGTCATGCGAAACCTGTGTGTGAGCGAAACCCAAATCATGTTCACTATGCTGGAAAGGCCTTGACGTATTGGGCACTCGACTCACTGTATGGAACTGATGATCCAATGGTCGCTGCCAATTTCGTCAGCGAGAGAATGGGAAACTACACTGACGTTGTTAATCATGTTGCTGGTTATCATGTTCCTATGTATCCCAATGATGGAGGCACCGTTGATACACCTTTGACTCAACCTATGAGGGACTATTGGCCTCAGATGATATTCGACAAGTACCACTTCAAGGTCTGCTTCGGTCATCATGCGCATGTCCTAAAACGAACAATGCCGATGACTAATAACTCGGTCGCCGAGGGCGGTGTTCTCTACGTTGGTGACGGAAAGTGGGGCACCACTGGTGCATTATTACCAACGATGGATGGTCTGGTGTTTGGTCCGCCGTTTGTCACTTCCGGTATCGACTACCATGTATGGCATGGCACTGCTGAGGATGATGGTCATTTGAAAGTTATTGCGGTGGATCGGTTTGGCAAAGTTGTTGATTCGACCGACAACTATGAGACTGGCCAGTGGCCGATGTAGTTTTCTATTTGTCCCAATACGGTTCATAAAAGCTCCGTAAGGTGGTCTACATAATTATGCATATGCTAAGTCTATGCTACATACAGTTGCTCTTGCAACTTGGGCGGGTTGCGTTTCGCCTTGAACCCGTCTACTGCACCTCTACGGAAGCTCTGTTTACTATCGCTTGAATTCTTGACTTCTCGGTTTTCGTCACCGTTCGTGTTGACCCGTAGAAATTCGGTTGTTATATTATTTTACCCATAGTTCCTAATGTATTCCTCATAAATGTATGCACTATGTTTCTACTCTGTCACCGACGTGCTTCTGTTGTTGGGTTCCTAGCGATAGTCTTGTGAGGGAGCCCTCAAACACATATCTTGGAAATAAACCGTTCGATGAACGAGGTATCGACGAGGAGATTGTCGTTGATTCCTGCTTTAATAGTAAACTCCTGATCCCAGCTGAAGAAAGCATCCCTCAGCCCAGTATCACCCGAAGCGACCGACTCCTCGTCATGCTTTTTCTCAATAATACATCATAGCAATCTGATAAGACCTTCCCTATCACTTTCCACTGTAAGATACATTGACTGCACCCCCTGCAGAAGCTCTGTACGCGTCGCTGTGTCCTCGAAGGCGACTCTATCTATCCATTCACAGAGGAAACAACTACAGGAAGGAGCACTTAGTGCATAACAAAATGTTTCTATTGCAGTGTGTGAGTGATTGCTTTCCTCGGCTGAATACATAATTCAGGTAGAAGCATACACAAAACCGATGAGGATTTCCCATAAGAAAGGTTCCATCACAATTTTCGTTATCACCAATTTCATACTCACCCACAGTGAACTTAGCATCTCGTATTACCATCGTCGTAAGTTACGACGTGTTACGACTCGTAACACAACATAAATCAACTGAAAAACTCTGATACTTCCCGATACTCCATCTTTAAAGCCCTCGGAGTCCGAGGGCTGTCCGAGGCTCGGACAATACACGCTCAACTTTGACACTTCAACGGAACCTGCATCATGAGTAGACATGAGAAAACAACCAAGCATTATTAGCAACTTCATTACCAAAATCATCACCAACATACTCGAATATCAGTGGGCCGGCCGTCAACAGCCCTTCTATCACCGTTTTTTGCCTTAATACAATAGATTCCCATAACGAAATGAGGTGATGACCTGAGAAACAAATACCTATTAATTTCAGGTGTGCAATCAAGTTACGCTCAGTGCCCAGGTGTCGGGACTTATTGGAACGATCCAGCCACTGCTTGCAAACGTGGCAGTACCAACCAGTGGCGTTCCGACCAGCATTTTCGACTGACATCACAAGTAGAACTAATCGCGAGACATGAGTTCCTTTCTGAGGATCACATGCGTTCAACCAGGACAAATTCACGCGTTACTCACGCGTCATCTGTGCCAAACTGTCTCTGCATAAAATCGACGGTCTCTACGCTATGGGCAGCGATAAGCCCCCCCTTGAGGACTCAAGTTACTAATAATTTGCGTTAATTTGGTTAATTTGCGCATAGAGTTACTGCTTCGGGTCGATGTGAAGGTCAGACTATGACAGAGGCTTTGCGCGGAATTTCATGTGTGCACGCGTGCTGTGATGGATGAAGAAGCCATCGACATGGCTTATGGAGTGGCGCTGTGGCGCGGACAACCAAGGAAGAGAGATAGGAATTATAGACCAATATCTTCATACAAGTGATATCGGATGGGTGACGGATTTGTCCGATGTGATGTGAAAGAACGAATACTTTTTTGGGCGGTTGGCCTGGTTTTAGCTACGGGAAGATCGATCAATTCACGTGTGCAGGCCAACTTGCACACAGCTTCACAACCCTACCTGCACCACGTAGCTGTAAGGTGACTTGCAGGCTGGGAATCCCAGCTCAGGAGGTGCGTAGGGGTTTGTCGGGCGTGTATACCCCCGCACTAGTAGGTCGTGCGTAACAACTTCTTCCCTCTGATTAACCCTTGCTCCCACGGGACGCGTGTTGAGCAACAGGGTCACATAATCCAGTACCGCTTGCGATACTCTGGAGGTTTTGCCCTGATTGGCTTTCAGGAACAGAGCTCGGACTTTATTCATTCCAAGGTCGTTTCTTTACCTTCCCTTGCATCCAAGGCGATCTAGTATTTGCATAAACCACCTGGACGTTCATGGATGGTATAGCATCTCTAAACTTGTCACTTTTGAAGTAACTCGCTGTATCAACATGCATGTACTTGATCGCATGGTTAATAGAACGTTGCAACAGCATTGGTTTTCAGTGAAAACTTTTCACAACGATTAAGACGTTTATGGGAGTCACAATGAATTTGGTACTACGAAATGTGATCAAATTCATCATTGTGATCAAATTACATTTCATAGTACGAAATTCGTATACACGGAAATCAGTGTAATGGCATCGCTTATAGACTAGACAACACAAATGAAAGGCATTCCTAACGACACGTTTCACATCGCATCATGTCTCAGGACGAACTCGCACCATGACAGCTTTCGCAGACTTGGGTCGTCTAGACCTGTTTCGTGCTGCACTCCCAGGTCTAGATCGGGGGAGTAAGGGTAGAGCCAGTGGTGGTGAGGGTCGAGGGACAAGCACCGCACTCGCGGATTGGGGTCTTGACGGTGGCGCTGTGTACACGTTCAGAAGCCCAGAAAGACCTGCTAATATTCGTGAACCGAATCACAGTGTTGCCGTACTCCTGCTACTGACTGCTCCGCTCGATCTCGGCGCTGGCGAGGTCCGTGGAGTAGGAGGTGTTGTCATGTAGCACTTAACGTACGGCTCGCCACACTGCCTTATACTGAGGTTCTTATTCGAACTCGGGTCGAATGTCGATAGTTCTGCCCTGGAAGGGTCCTTCCGTTTGAACGGATAGGGACCGAGAACGGGAAGAATGCTGTAGTTGTCGACATCAGTGGTTGCTATGCGCAAGTAGGTAGGCAGGGCATAAACTTCAGTTTCACCGGCAGATGTGACTGCCAGAATGTTGATGTATCCAAACCATTCCGTATCTTAAACGGAGATAGGTGAACTCTTTCGGACCGAGAACAGTACCCGGAGTCATGGTGAAGGGTCTTACTAACACACACATCGTTTGGCCTGGTGGAACGGACTTCCCTTCCTTCCACTCGACCGAGAGTGGTGGAACCTCAGGTCCCTTCACTGTGGCCAACGATACGCTGATGGTTGCCGAATGGTACCTATCATTCAACGCTTCCACGATGAGCCTCTGGGCCTGGTTGCGACATCCCACCTGACATTTGTGACGTCGATACGGAAGTCATGAACGGACTTGATCGCCATCACCCCCAGGTCAAGGGCATGTGTGAACCTACTCGTTACACAGTGAGCATCCAGACATCAGTTGTACATGCGTACCTATACTGCTCCCACACCACAGAATCATCAAAGTGGCATCCTTTGCTGAGCATCTTCACTCCTGCCTCAAACTCCTCGTTGGTCTCAGTGTACTTCCTGTCCATGGGTTTGGGAACAACGGAAGGAATTGCCTTCAGCACCAATCGCTTGTGAATCTCAGTGAAGTCTTCGTATTCGCTATATTTCTGACAACGTCCACCGGTCAGCCACAACGTCTTTCAATTTTACCAATTTATGGCGGTCCCGATAGGCGTCGAATAATCTCTTCTTGACGATTTTATGTTTGCCTAACTCCAGCTGGCGAACAAAGCGTTGCACCCTCTGAAGAAGCTTAGGCGTCTCGAACTTTTTACTAGAGTAAGTGTAATTCGCGAGAATAACCACGAAGCGTATCAGCTGTTCCAATGAGAGCCTCGTAGTGTAACTCCTGCCCAACAGAAATTGGAATGACCACACTCGAACAAGCATACTTACTTGTCTCCGTTGGTTACACTGAGCCATGCGCGCTGTGCGACCACCAGTCCGCATAACGTTGGGACAATCTACGCACATGACAATGTTCAGCGACAATGAGGAGGATCGCGCAATTGTCATGACATCGAAATCTTGGAGAAAATCGGTGACTTCCAGCCAACCCATACCCCAGTCACCGGAGGAGAGCTCATTCTCTCGTACAGGATCGAAAAATGCCCTGCAAACCAGTCGCGCGCCAACTGAGCATGGTCGTACCCAAGCTTGGTGATTGCTGCTTTCTCACTGCCAATTTCAGTCATCACTTTGAGTCGTCGGTATAGACGTGAATAGAACATATGCACCAGCAAGAGACCTGGCCATGGTTCATCTCGGTAGCGCTTACTAGGGTGTATCTCACCCGCTGCTGGTCGTCGTTGCGCGGATGATGGTAATACTTCAGCGACCGGGTATTGTCTCAGATTGAGGAACAGTTTGAGTGACACTAAGCGTGGTCGATCAGCGCTACGTTCATTTGCCAACTTCCTAAATGTTGCATAGATTTCGGTTTCGGCTGGAACCTTGCCTGAAGAGTGCGACAGTCCAAGCTGATCGGATGTCATCGCCTCTACCAATGCTCGAGCTTCCATGGCAACTAGCACTCTGTGGTCTGCCCCTGCACAGTACACTCGATGTAGCGAGTTCGTCCAATAGGGGTCTCCTCTGTTTGAGCTGGTCTTCTGCAGTCTGCGGAGGCTCGAGGTTTCTCTGCGATCCAGAGCCCACGGTTACGTCCTGGTTTATATGAGCTTTCGGGGATTGACATGGTGTTCTGTTGATAAGCATTCCAAATGATAGTGCTGAATGACTAATCTCCCTTTGTATTGTCCAGTCTGAAGGAGCACATGCGTACTCGTTCAGTCCGGACCAAAATTTCGGCTATAATCGTGGTGTACTCAGACATGACTAGACCCGCACTAAACTCGACCCTCTATGTGGCTCGCATTGTTACCGCCTTTATGTAGCATATTCAACAGTGCTCATATTATGCGTAAGAGCACCCGAATCGAAAAATGACAGAAAACCATCATTTCCTAATATACAACCTAATTCCTCGAATCGCAAGAATATCAGATCCTTTGTTGCACAGAATGAGAGATTGACTAGAAACAGATCAAAACTCGTTGAGACTAACAACCCAGACTGTCATCCCGAGAGACCCTGTCTCCCCGTAACCCAACAGACCCATTGGGGACTAGCGGCCAGTCGCCATCCATCCTAGAAGCTCCGTACGTAGGTTAGTCACTAGCCTACGTATGGAGCTTCTAGGATGAATCACCCTAAACTCCTATACAGGCCTGCACAACTCAACAGGGGAATTGACTCTGTGAACGAACCATTTTCGCAAGTTCTGGGGATGCGTTCACGATCAACTTGAATGGAGGATCTCCACTAGGTATTCCATGGACGAGATAAGCGATTGGGAATGCAATACGTGGATACATGGAAATAGGGCGTGCACCAGCTTGGTTCAACCAGGAGAATCTCAAGCATTGAGCAACCGACTCAAGATGTTTCTCAGTACACAAGTTCAATCGAGTTCTCGCCCAAATTTGTACTGCGATTGGGACATCTTGCGTTCTTCACTCATCTCGAGTTTCCCCAAAGTCCTGTGCGCAACATATGTAAAGGTCTTTCAAGGTCTTGCATGTATCGTAGGATACTCTCCAGCGCTTGCGATGGAACCGTAAGCATACTTATGAGACTTTATATCTAATTCCGTGTTCATTGACCAACATGCTGTACCCTACGAGGTGTCTCGACTCGAGAGGACTCGACTATTGTTCAACGGTCCTTGTAGAGTTTTGTTGTCGCGACCAGTGTACCTCCATGGCTCTGCGGCGTTCATCAGCTCGTCTGAAGCATTTCTTTACAGATGGAGCCAACGACTACGTCACTGGTTGGGAGAATACCCCACCGTTGAAGTTCCCAGCTGACGTCATGAAGCCCTGCGACTACTCTATGACCAAGCCTATTCCCAAGCATTGGGTAAGGAGCCCTTGGTGATGACGGGTGAACAGTCGGTCTTCCTCAGAAACTACGCGGTTCGGGTATGCACGGTCCGGAGAACACTGATCTGATGAAACTCGTATTATGGAATCGTCTCAAGCAGAAGAGGCCTCAAAGAGAAGTGAGTTCATCAGTGGAACCAGGGTCGGTTCTAATTCCGTGTGTGCGCACACTGTAAGTCTACTAGTCCGGGACATTCCTCTCCCGGCGTTCGGGTTCTCCCATCATCACATGTTCATATATTCCCAAGACCAAGTGGACGCGGATTAAGTTCGGTATGCGTCGTGCAAATATTAGGTCCCCAACATCAACTACTTGAAGGATTCAATCAGGCTAGAGATGTCGGTCAATTGGTGGTTGATGAGTAAGTTCGTGTTCATACCAGACTTGGATGATATTTTCCAGGTTGTATTTTCCTTTGGGGCCCTTGGTTACACTGGGGTCAGGAGTACCAGAAGGTGCATGAGCAACCACCGTGGGCGATGAAGCGTATTGGTAAGCAGCCAGACTGTCTTGTCATCACTATAGTATTCATGCTCATTCCAGATGGTCTTCGCGGTGAGGGTTACTTCACTTGGTTCTTGGAGTGAGGAGTATTGGTGGACTGCACAAGGGAAAGTACATGATGACGTTACTCAACGCCATCTCGTGGTCACTTTTTTGATATATTAATACATAATCAGGCTAGGCCGAATGAACTCTGTGAACTGTTGTGTTCAGTCGGAAGGAACGTTGCTGTGTAAAAGGCGTAGATGTAGAACTTATTGGCCCCACCTGCTGGGGTTACTTGTCTCCATGCCAAGACGACCGACGTCATGTGGCAGTAAGGGAGGTGATGGCGATTTTTGGACTAAATTGAATCGACGACGACAGTTCACAGATGAAAGTGCTGAAGTGTGGGAGGTGATATAACAGTAAAATGTATACTCATGGAAAATTGTGTGGCGAATTCATCAGCTCATTGGAGCCATCATTATTTGGTCGAAGTTTAACTCTCAGACTCGGGGTATTACCAGTCATGCGGATGCGGTGTATGAACGGCGCGATGGTTTAGCACTAGAAACACCAACTAAGGTTAGCGACAGGATCGCTAAATTCTCATCGGTAATGTCCTGTGGCTAACAGAGGAGGCATGGCATGTGGTGCCAGTAGGTTCCCCACGGTGCCAAACCTAAGCCGGTTATGTCACCGGTCCAGTCCCGGTCGGTGACGGGGGTAATGCATATCTCCCATGCTGCATTGACAAAGCTTAGAGGAAACGGCTCACCAAAAGGTAGTACTTCCCCCTTTTATAACAGAGTTATATGCGGTAAACTCAGGTGAGCTACTGAACCTACAAAGGAGTATGAGCTTCCCGAGAAGTCATCTCCTTAATACTGAGGGGTGTTCTACTGCAGCGTCTACATCGAGTAGTGTTAGCGGCCACACAAGTAGGGCTTCGGGTTGTCTGTGGTCAATACTCTACGCAGAACCAACTGGTCGGGGATCTACTTCCGAGCTATTGGGAAACTCACGAGATGTCACTACAAAGGACACCCTATCTGTAGCGCCTGGTACAGGAGACCAAAAAAATGAGATAATTCTGGCAGGTGGGATCTCCGAGTCGATCATCCCAATTTTATATCGTAGATGAAGCCACACCTTCTCCCCTTGGAATACCACTGTCCTTGCCCCCCGAGTCTCTCGTCAACGACGTAGTTACGCCGTGTGAGTTCATCCAACCGTTTAGCTCTGTATGCATTTTCTTCGTGTTCAGCTCAGAGTGTAGCGACCAGTGCGACTCGATTCCGTATGAACTCTAATATTTCCATTAACAGTTGTGACGAATTGCCGGTAGATCTGTGCGACAAGGTGAGCCCATCTGATCCAGCGTTGAGGCTCAGGGAGTTTATAATAGGTTGTTTCTCAGACCCATATTCTGTCACTAAATCACAGTAGAATGACTCCGTCCTCAAGCTCGAATGACGCTAGAGAGTTTTCCGGTCAAAATAACGAGGCTCTCCAGTGCGAGGTGGTACGCCTCCAATTGGAGTTGGAGGAGAGTCGGCGCAGAATAAGAGATCTTGAAGACCGTCAGGAGGGCTTCTGGGAGGAAGATGTCTTTGACATTGTCAACAGACTAGCAACTCAACGACCAGCCAATGACGGAGATTCAAACGTGCAAAGTGTATCTATAAAGTCGCTGTTACCGTCAGACTTTGACTTCTCAATTCGAGATGCGAGACGTGGAACTAGGACGAGTTCCTGCTCGAGTGTATGCTCTTTCCACACAGCTATATCAAGTTTTAATTGGAGTGATGACGATAGTGTTATCGATGCTCCTCGACTTTTGTGAGTATCTTGACCTAAAAACGTCTCTAAGTCGCACAAGCATCTATGTTGAGTATTTAGTAGATGTAATCCCAATACGTACAGTATCTTCGGCAACGTTATGTAACTCAGTAGTACTATGAACGAAATGGTGTTGCATGACTAAGTAGAGGAGCACCGTTGTGGTCCTCTTGAACTAAATGGGAGAATATAAACTCCAATGCATGTGGAGACACTACGGTGCCCGGATTCACTGATATGACGTCTATAATCGCGTCAGCACTGGAGTAACTCGGAATCTCGCATCATTGTTGATACAGATTGCCTCAGAATTACTACATTATACGTGTATGCGTAAAGTGATTCGATAGCCGTGAATGAAGGGAGCCATAAGGCGCACCGATCACTCAGAGAGTTTGCATGCTGTACCATATGTGTGGGAGGGGGTTCCTAAACACCGAAAAAACTCGTGTGATGCCGCCGAACACCTCAGTTGCCAGGCCTCCGCCTCTTCTCTGGATTTATCACAGCATCGCAGGGTGTTCGAGCTCATAACGCTAGCATGTCGTATATGTGGTGGTGGTCCGTACGTAGGTAGAGATTTGATGCTTTTATAGACCTGGCTCCCATCACCGGTGCTAGTGCCACTAGCCTAGTGGTGTTTCTATTTGCTATACGGTGAGGAGATCAGTGACTGATGATCGACGAAATTGAACGTCCTATCAGCGAAATCGATTTCCGCACTTCTTCGAAAGAGAACTTACTTCAGACGTGCCGGCGAAATTGATTGTACTAATGACACGTGTCGTCGAAATGGATTTATCTATCGAGCGCGCTGGTGAAATTGATCTTACTAAGGCATATCTTGGCTCGAATGATCGCTCGCCCTGCGAAATTGATCTCACTAAAGGCGAAATAGGCCTTTGAAAGGTGTAGATAAGATGATCCTATCAAGATCAACCGCGATTCGGAAACCTCCTCTCAAGAAAACGTCTGTATATATCATGGCAAACGAGCCGCATGAAGGATGCAGTGCCAAGTAACGATTCTGTCTGGCGAGCTATGAACCCTGTCGAGAGAACTCTAAAATGTCCTACCGATCGTCAGGTGCCTCTTTTCATCCTAGGGCGCGCGCGATTTTCATTCGGCAAAACACCACCCAGCATAGATGATGGAATCATTGAAAGAGAAAAGAGTAATTATGAATAATCATCTTCATCAATGGTTGATTCTCAATGAACTGTATGTGAGCTGCTCGGCCTATGAGTGAATCCAGGCTACGTTCAGGTAGGTAAAAGTTAACATCCAACCGAATTAGCTTCTCGGGTGCGATCCCGGCGACCAGCGACCGGGCCATCTCCGTGTATCTACACAATAACTACTCTTTCACGGCTGCAATAACATAAAACTGAACCATGAATGAGCCACTCCCGACTCACACTGAACCCATCGTTGGTTCCTGTCGCACTCTATCCGAGATTTCAACGCGTGCAGAATCGAAGCCAGCATATTGATCTTGGCACGACGAGGCCAATACAACATACCGGAACCTGAACCATCACTATCGTATCAACCACCGTCCTCAGAGGAGCGCACCGAGGTAGAATTTCCCCCGTTTCCCGTGCCGAGCGGTAGAGATAACACTCCTCGGGAATATAGGAATCAGCCATTGTAAGCTGATTCAAACACTCGGACTTGCGCCACCGTTTAAGCACTGATCAAGTTGAAGTCAATCACATCTCCGATCGAAGCACAACTCACCCCAGAGGCCTCCTTCAATGAGTTTGTTGCTGTTATATAGATAGCCCAAGTGGGGCGCTGATAGGCTCAAGAAAGTAAACCTACGTATAGCATTCCAGCAGCGCCACCACGACATGGCCGGAAATAGCAAGAAATTATTCCTTTGACAATACGCTCGCTTGAGTGCATCTACGCCATGATGAAGAGTCTCTCTTACAATTTTTCAGATATCCCTGGCTGGTCCATCAGTGTTGGCAGTGCCGCTCGTACAATGAGCCCACCAAGTGAATGTGAAATAAAGGACAGCCGAGTCTGAAGGGAACTTTTCATTCAACAACCTACGATGTCAGCTTGTGGAATCTCCTCCTATACCGCAACCAATGTGGGAAAATATGCATATGCTCAACTACATGTGTTAGTGACAATATGAAAGTTCTCAGAGATTCCTTGAAAATTCTCGAAGTTTTTCTACAGTCCTATCCGAACTCGTATATGAACTCCTATAATGAGGAAGTTTCCAACCTCAGCCGAGGAGAACGTACATAAATTTCTCCTTACTAATTACAGAGGGCGCAGGTTCGATTCCGGGGTCGGACATATGCGAAAAAATTGTCATGATTCTTTTCTAAAATCGATTGCGGACAGATTCCATGCAATTAAACTATATCACAGGGCGTTATATTCCAAATTTCAGCTTCAAAGTCGTTCTACAGAGAAAGGTACCTCTGCACAAGTTTTCCCGGTCTGTAGATGACGTCGCTATCACTCCCTTCATTCAGATAGATGCTAACATTACTCAAGTGCCTATATTTCTGTCAAACCAGAGTAGCGTTATCAGCGCGTATTTTATACGACAACTATACGTGTTTTCCATACCCCTTATCGAACTCACCAGTGCAGCTCCTGGGCACCAGTCAGAAATATAACACACCACTTCATCAGCGAGGCGCTGCCCTGAGCCAATGAAATCGTAATGAACAAAGCAAAATGTGAACCCACCCATTTCCGCAATGTTTCCCTCGGTATCTTCCTCATTGCAAGAACTACATAGGAATAACGAGTCCGGAAAAACACACGCCAGATTGTTCTTGAATAACCGCATATCATATGCACTGCCCTGCAAGCCATGCACCTGCACGCCGATGACGAACCGCTCATGGTGTCAGTCAATCTTACGAGAACAACGAGATGTGTGCCTTTATAGGATTTCGGGTCCGTTGCCATGCATCTGTGCGACTCAGTCGAGTCCACAGGGACATCCCCAGCGCCCCGAGTAGGAGAATTGCCGCTCGACTGAAGACAAAAACATACACGTTGATTTTTACACGAGCGGCGTCAACACTCACGTACAAAAAAGGGACAAATACATACACATTGATTTTTACACGACCGTGGTCAACATTCACGTGATGAACAAGAAGCAATGCAGTGGGGATCGTTTAGTTACATCTAGCTCCATTGGTCTAATACTAATATCATCGAGATCTCCAACAGACAGTTTTTTGGGCGTACTCCATCGTACTATACACTACAGTTGAATACACATATGAATTCTGTAGAAAATGACCACGTGAATTGACTCACATATCGCTGCTCGAATATTATAGGCATTGTTGCCATCCCAGAATAGCGATGCATATACGCCGTCGAAGTCGACTCCGCTTCTTCTGTGAGATCACTAGCTGTGTTGTATCCTCGACCGAGCACAGTCGCTCCGGCGGGTCCATGAACAATTTCTACGAGGCGAACATAATCGTCAACTTCAAGCCTAAGAGTATTACTCCCTCACTCGATCAGCTGCTATTTTATGCACTTCCCAAATATCGTCTTCTAGTGGGAACGCCAAATCTCTGGTAGAATCCACCGTTTCCGTCACACATGAGATGCAATGGCTCAACCTGCAGAGAACGGAGACTCGGCCAAACGCAAAAAATTCTGAGAAAATTCCGGTAATTTTCTTGTTGATTGCTGAGTACTTCTACTCATTTTTTTAATTCCTGACATTTTTACACATGTGTTCGTGCGTTCGGTAAAGTGTCCCAAGCAAAGACGCGTGTGTTTTCGCTTTCCGGAATTATGTTATCTGTACCCTTGTCTGACTTGCACGCATGCGCACGGAGTGTGGAAAACACAATCAAAATTCTTTTGAGGCCATCATACAGAAATTATTCGAAATTCTAAATCTACAAGGAAAAAATTCTCTATTGCCACTTCAGTTTCCTCCGTCAGTTTTAAGCGCTATATCGCACAAAAACGGTTACTCGTAACACCACTACTTTTCTATCGTATTCCGTTCCCACACTATGAGCAGTTCATCGCACACTTTCCTGCTACATACGGCCAGTACCTCGAGTAACCTGAATACCAAATCGTATAACCGAGGACATCAGTGCAAACATGGAAAGCGCATGGTAGCAATTGAAATCGTTGAAAAACGATCTGAGCGAATCACTGATCAGAATCGGATAACCTCTCACCTGTGCCAAAGCTCAAATGAGCTCACAGCCAAAACATTCATTGTTGCCATTATCTCGGCAACACTCTTCGGACCAGCTTCCTCAGGCTACAGAGAAAAGCCGTTATGCTACACAAATCCACACAGGGGATATATGCACATACTTGAAAGCGTTTTTATGACATTTTCTTACGAAATTTTGAAGATTTCTATCTTAAAACGCGTATAAATTCTCATGAGGTAGCGAGTAAAATTCTGAGCTCAGCTGAGCAAATGCGATACCGATAGAACAGTGCGGGAATATATGTTCACTAGAAGTTTCCTCACTAACCATAGGAGCTTATACACGAACTAGGGTAGAAATGTTTAGCAACCAACAAAAAATTCCCGGAAATTTTCTCGGAATCTCCATATTCTACATGTAGCTGATCATGTACATACTTTCCAACACTGCTGTAGAAATCAAATCTATTCACGCCGAGTCAGCAGTGACTACAGACGATATTCCAGCCGACTCACGGGGTTATGCGGAATGCTCAGCTTTTCCGCAAGTGACACCTTGAAAGAGCCGGTCGAGCATCGACTCGTGACGTCATAAAAGAACTGAAGAACTGACAAGTACGGATTGAAGCGCAGATGAACGAGTATGTACTCACTGATTCGAGATGACCGTAGGCTCCTTCCATGATATGCATATATTCAGAAGAGCCACTACAAGTCATTGACGCAGCAGTTTCTGATGAACTCGCATTGATCGTAACCTGAATAATACAGTCACACGAGTCAGCGATATCACCACCGATGTCCGACGATTTTATAGAGTAAACCATGGGGAGTCGTAATGGAATATCACCCGTTTTACGCGAAGTGGCATAACACTCTGTGAAAAACCCGACAGTCGCGGTATGCAGTAGTCGTGAAGTCCAATTTTCACTAGTGTTCTTCACATCACCGGTGAAACTCCAATGTACATAAATATACGTTGTATCGAATAATATTCATAAACTTAATCCCAAAAAATCACTTTCTTCTGAAACCCGTGTCACGTCTCGAATAACAGTTACTCTCACTCATTAGCTGCTTACTTCTTTCGCTTCTTTGAGCTTGAGGAACTCCTCCAAAGTGTTTGGTTCGACCACAGAACGTAAAGCCACTGGCGCTCCCAAAATGAGATTGTCCGCCTCAGTATCTTGCACGAGTACGTCGCTACTGACAACTTCCTCGGGTTGAGGCGGCGGCAGCCGAAACCTACATAGGAGGTCCGAAAGCACCAAGTAATCTCGAATGATGAGCCCACCTGAAATCTGAGAGAGTCGCACATATCAGCATTTTCACTGAACAGAAATGAGCCTCGTCGAATACCACGGGGACACATCTGTGAAGGAATGTGTTCAGTATCATTCGTTCATATCGTCATTTGAGTATCAAACACAAACGCAATGTACTATGCTACGGAACATATAAAAAAGCAACAGCGCGTAAAATGAGGGAAACAAAAGAGTATGTGATGTGGACTTACTCGTATAAGCCGTCCTGAATGTGATGTAGGAGTAGTCGTACAGTGGAAGCTCTTTTCAATTCGATACCACCTGGCCATATCAGAATTTACAATGTGGTCTACCAACATTGGAGTTTCACCCGTTTCACATGAAGTGGCGTAATACTCAGTGGAAAACCCGATACTTGCGCTATGCAATGGTTTATAAAATATGTTTTTCACCAAAGTTTTTCATATTATCGAACTAAGGCTTACTCCCTGTGGTGGCTTCCTTCAGCATTCTCTCAGACTTCAAATTTATGTTGCTGTTGATGCTGCAAGCTTTGAGTTCGCCGTAGAGTAAATCAATATCACATGCAATGACCTGAGTTCAAACCAGTGTGGGAGAATATGCACATGGTCAACCACATATGTTGGTGACAATATGAGAATTCTGGGAGGAAATTTGGCTAAATTCTTGTTGCTTTCTGTACATTTCTACCCTAGTTCGTATATGAACTCCTATAGTTAGTGAGGAAACATCTAAGGTCAGCTGAGGAAAGCGAACATATATTACAACACTGCTTCAAACTGTCGGGATACATGTTCGCTTTCAAAATCAGCTGATCTCAGGAGTTAATATACGAATATATATTATAACTCTTATAATAGTATTACAATTAACTATTATATTAATTCTAATATATTATATAAATACTATTGATTAACTATTATTAATAACTATTATACTCTTATAATATTATATTATAAGAGTAGGCGCTTTCAGAAACCATCGAAAATTTTTCAAAATTTCCTCAAAATTTTCACCAACACATGTGCATATTTTTCCACACTGCGCAGCCGGCCAACCGAACTGAACAGATCCCTGCGAGGATGCATTCACGTGGTCAGTTATACGGCTATGTTGACGAAAGTGTAGAAAAATATGTGGATTTCCTGAACACTCAAAATCTGATCTATTATTCAGCTCTGAATTTTAACAATGTAGTGAGGAAATTGTTCAGCTAAGCTGAGGAAACCAAACATATATTCCAACCCTCGTCAACCTCGACATACCCAACCGAACAGAAAATGATTTCAAACGATATGCAGTCTTACGGTTTCGCTAGTCACGGAAGATTTCTCCGGAACAAGGAGTTCACATGGGAGCTCCAACCTGAAGAAAAACAACTACAGAGAAGCGGCCCAGATTACTCCCTACCTAAACTGACAGAAATCTCCGAGTGGCACCTGTTCCTCGCAATATCGAACCAGAAAACTCCGGCTATAAAACGCTGCCTGAGAACACACCACGACATACCACACTTCCGACACTTCGCCTCTTTACTTGACTATCAGATATACATGCTTGTTTCACGTCATGAAAGCTCGGCTTCGACGCCTCGCTGTTCGCCCGCTCGCCCGGATCTGAAAAAAGCCTTCGAATGTCAACCGCTTGATTCACCCAAACCATAAGAGCACCTTTCGATCGACTGGTGAACCAATTGTACGGCAGGGCAAAGACTTTTGAGGGAGCAACCGGCGTGGCGCTGTCAACCGAGCTCGGCTTGGTATTGGACACTGACGATTCCCTTTGTTTCGGCACAGATAACTAAATACAGAAAAATGGATATACCGTAAACCACTCAACTACCCAAACTTATATAGATAACACAGTCAATACCGTTCACGATTGATGACTCACCCGAACTCGGAGCTGATACAAGCCCTGATGATACAAATCGACATTCCTAAATTCGTCAAAGTGAATCAAGACTTCTACGACGCCATGAAGGGGCATGTGGTTTCGAAAACGATCGAGTATATATCAAAAAAACAAATCTACGAAACGGAACTTGAACTGAAGTTGTTCGATTTCGAGATTAGATCAATCCTACATTTTCAGATAAAGGTTATTCTATAATGGAGTTTCCCCCTCACCCATTTTACGTGAAGTGGCGTACTACTCCGTGAAAAACGCGATATTCGCAGTAGTCGTGAAACATGTTTTTCATTAGTATTTTTGCATATAACGGGTGAAACTCCAGTACACACATAAATAGGAATAAATGGCATTTTACACTATAATATTAAAGCTGATTTCCATATAAAGGTATTCATAATAAGGGGATTTCAATGCAATGGAGTTTCACCCATTTTTCGCGAAGTGGCGTAATACTCAGTGAAAAAGCCGATACTCGCGCTGTGCAGTAGTTTGTGGAGTATGCTTTTCACTAGTGATTTTCATATCACGGGCAAAGCTCCAACATAATTACATCATTTAATAAAATCTATATATCATTACGGGAATATATGTTTGGTTTTCTCAACTGAGTTCGTAGGTTTCCTCACCATTTCATAAAAAATCACACGATTTTGGGTATAAGTATACAAAAATCAACGATAATTTCTCAAAATTTCCTCAAAATTCCCATATTCCTAGCAACACATGTAGTCCACCATGTGCATATATTCCCACACTGATGAAGTCTCCCCCCCCACCCGTTTTACGTGAAGTGGCGTAATACTCCGTGAAAAACGCGATATTTGCGCCTTGCAATAGTCGTGAAATATGTTTTTCACTAGTATTTTTGCATATAATGGGTGAAACAATATATATAACATATATACTATAGTATATATTTAACAATATATACTATATATTGTTAAATAATATCACTAGATCTAGCTATCATATCAAGTATCGTTTAATAAAGGAATCATCTTTTCATTATCATCTTTGACATTTTTATGTTGTTGTCTCTATCGAGCAACACATCATACATAGACATAATATTGGAGTTTCACGACCGTGATATGAAAAACACTAGTGAAAAATATATTTCACGACTACTGCATATCACCGCGAATATCGCCTTATTCACACAGTTTTACGCCACTCCATGTAAAATGGGTAAAACTCCATTATATTGTAATTTTTCATAATCCCAATATGTAACGATAAGCCACATACACGCCCCGCTCTGTCGCACATGACATGCTGTGGTTTGGCCTCAATACGACGAAAAAATTAGTTTAATTGTATTAGACATATCAACACGACACTTTGATGGTGGTGGTGGTGGTTCAAAGCTCATGAGAGAATTTATGCTCATGAAGCTTCCAATGACTCCGTCACACATAGACCCACACAATAGTAAAATATCATCATCACGATGCAAAACTATTAATAATGAAGGAGCTCTAAGTACATAAATAGCTCAGCATTAGTTATGCCACCACAATTCATTTCCACTAGGAATAATAGGAGCTCAACCCAGGCCACTGTCGACCTTCACGATCACATTTACCCTCGTAGAAGCTCCGTAATCTCGACGCTGTTGAGTCAACAGTTTACGCAGATGCATCCGGAGAGCTATCACTCAGCGCTCTCACCCCGTTGCAATAGCAACTGCAGCTTCACTGGAGTTTCATAGCCGTGGTATGAAAAACACTAATGAAAAACATATTTCACGACCACTTCATATCGCGTTTTCACCGAGTTTTACCCCACTTCACGTAAAACGCGTAAAACTCCACTACTACCATGGTATGAAAAACACTAGTGAAAAAAACATATTTCACGACCACTTCATATCGAGAATATCGCGTTTTTCACCGAGTTTTACGCCACTCCACTACTACCTCACTTGCTCCACTCCTGCCAACATCACGGCACATAACCTGCAGATCCGCACCTTCCTCTTCCCTGTGAATCAACATTACTCTATCCATTTACATAACATACGGACGCCATAACATTTGATCACTCGGACTCCCTGGTGGTCTGTTCTGGCCTTTTCCTTCTTCTCCCTAGCAGGAACGAGTACCCAATCGTTTCCCACCAGGATCGACCGTAGGATCGATGCGGGATTAAACACGGATCGCTCTGCAAAGTTACATAAGATGCTCAAGAGGCACTACATCGGAATCGATCATTTATCGATATTTAAAATTCACCAAAATTCACATTGAGCATATCGGACATCTGAACGACAATGCTGCCCCCTTGACGCCTCCAAAGAGGCACCGGCCTCACCTCGCCATATGCCCAGTCGGACCAACATTATCACATCCTAGAACCTACGCGGACATGAGCCTCACTCGCGTACTATAAAACAACCATGTAATCGAAAATGATGGTTTCGCATACAATGATATATAAACAATGTGATACAGCCGCTGCATCAGGATTACAACCACATGAGCAACGCAACCTCATGGGAAACGGCTCGGCTTTTCACGTGGCTGCTCTCTGTCGTACTAGGACATTCACGTACCCTCTCGATAACGACACAGGAGGCGGCTCAAATAGAAAGTTCATTTTCTCCGTGCACTTCACGGCCACTTTCGCCCTACCCATTCACTACCTTCAGACCAATGCTGCTCAGTTTCAGATCAGATATTTAACCGACTAGCCTCCTCCTTATTATAAGCACAGCTACTACCGTATTTCGAAGTGATCACATCTCTGGACTCGTCAATCCCAGCCTTTAACAACAGAGCCGTTAGATTACTAGCAAAGTCTTGAACAATTCGACTTGAAGGAACTCTACATAGACAATATCTTAAAGATGGCGTATGACCTCGGAATAGATCAATCTCTTCCAGAGTGGATCGTTGTCGTACTCGTGTACCGATTCGCTGTGCGTAATAAACGAGCCATTTGAACACAATCCGAATAAAAACAATTTCAAATTCGCTTTCCTTGTGTAAACCTGCATAAGCGGTCTTACTTACTACTTTTGCACGCAGTCACGACTAAGAGGATGAAAATAAGAATGCCATTACCATATCACGGAGTAGCAGTGCTGAGCGTACCAAGATACCGACTGTGGTCAACCGCACAACTACGAAAAGCTGACCTAGTGCCGAACTTGAATCACCAATATTTCGAAACACTCACAGAGTCGGCAAACCATATGTGTACATATCCAGCACAGCAATGAGTTTGATACATACTGTCTGCTGCAGTGTGTGGGAAACATGCACATGGTCAATGAAATTTGTTGGTGACAATATGTGAAAATTCCAAGGGGAATTTGAGAGGTGTTTTCCTTGGATTGGTCAGATTTCTTGGCTCTTGTGCTGATTCACTGATTTTTTACTCCGGAGCAAGAAATCAGGATCATCGCGATGATATGTGAATCTCCGAGCTGATTCGAGCATCAAAAGTTGATTTTTTAGCTGATTAATACTCAATATGCCTTGCTCACGAAGCTGATTTTTCGGGTGATTCCATTGAATCTGATTATTTTCGAGAATCAGGGAATCAGAGTTTGAATCAGACAGTTTTGGCAAGACGAAGATTACTACGCCCCACAACCGAGAGTGACAATTTCAAGAAAGGAAGAAAATATCTCTCTGCGAGGGAAGAACCTGGTAGGTTCGTCTCGAATGCATGAACATTTCCCGTTACGGTATCGCAAAGATAGAATTTTGAAAGAAGATCTTTCGTCTCTCAGAAATTCTAAGTGGAAGCTCAGCGCGAATAATAGATTTGGTATAGGAAGTGACTTGTTTACACGTCACATGATCAATGCTTGAGTTCTGACTTAGTTTGCCTCGAATATCGTGCTGTACCCGTGAATTATATGTCGGCATTGGAAAAAGCCAAGATCATCTTCGCCAACATCTACTTCAATCATGATGGTGACATTCAACGAGTGCTGACGGGCAGCATCGGGGGCAACGACGTTGCTAAGCGCCAGAAGCAGAAGTGGGAGCAGCTAGTTGATGAAATAAACGCCTTATGTGGCACTGTTCTGACCGTTAAAGGGCTCAAGGCAATGAAGGACTACATGACTAAAGGTGACGGGAAGGATCACAGATCAGTATCAGAGTTCAAGCTTCAATATCAACAGTCAACGATCAAAGATCAGGGATCAAGATCAAGAATCACAGATCTCACTTACGCATCTCGGATCACGACGGATTTGGCTGAGACATCAAGATCAACGAGTGATCTGGATCATGTGCTTGATCTGTGGATCAGGAACCGCATACCGGCCCTGAACAAGCCCTATGAAAGTCAGTGATTCGCAAGAAGATCCGCCCATGGAGTCGAGTTTCCCGCCCGATGATGATGATGATGAATCACCATCATCATCATTGATGATGATGGTGAAGGTTGGTCTAGACTGGTTCAAGCTGAACCACTGCATCACTCACGTGTTTGCGCAGTTTGTACGACAATCGTGCGGACACACATGACATGCGTGAATGTTGCGACCGGATATCGAGTGTGTGATAAGACTCTTATCATAAGAGTAATCCGCGTAGTACTGCAAAAGCAGGAGAGATATCGTAAGTGTAATTCTTTGCATGTAGCATTTTGGGAAAAAAGCCACTCTTAACTCTCAAGAAACACACGGGTGAAAAAAAAGAGTTCACAAGGCTCTTGAGCAAGGCTTTAAAACGTAGTTCGGCCACAATTCAACCGTTTCGCTCTCAGGGAGCTGATGTCCGGGGTATGAGTAACACGAGCTAGCCATCGATGCTGATAAAAGCCACTGAATTCAGATGATTCGGCCTCCCTGAGGAATTCTGCGTTCCGAGTCTGAGCTGCGTCTGCCATTATTCATTTGGTATGACTTCGGACTGATGCAGGTTTCTCCTTCTCTCGATGGCTTCCCCTCTACACATTCGATTACATCAAGACGCTTTTGCCTTGGTGATGTTCATGACTCCGATCATGTTCAGAGGGCTAGGCCTCACGCAGCTCCTGCTTGCATATTCAGTGTACCTCCTAGATTCTTCGCAGTATGAACTTCGGTGCAAGTAAATCGTTTCTGATTATCTCTCAGTTGGATCGGTCATGCGTTTTAGATACCAACCGGAGGTATTTTACCAACGCTGCGTTTCCTACACCAAGATGCTCAAGAAATTCACCGATAACGTCGCCCTTGTGTACGAAGACAAAAGTGCGTTAAAACAGTGTTTACAAGTGATCTACTCCATACACCCTCACGGTATCATGTCATTCTGCCATTCTTACGTATTCTTTAACTGTCCGCACGCAACATGTGGCCTGAGTGCTTCAATCTGTTTCAAGTGTCCGTTCATATGAGAACTCTGGCTTGCACTCGGTCTCATTGACGCAGGGCGCGCAACTTGCATGAAGGCATTGAGGCAGGGCTACAGTCTCACTCTACTCCTCGGTGGCACGAAAGAGCAGTTGATACCATACTCGCCTACTCATGATACCATCGTATGCAAGTCGAGGAAAGGGTTTATTTATCTGGCTAGGGATGCTGGGAAAATACCGATCGTGCCATGCTATTGTTTCGGAGAGCAGATAGCTTATGGTAAGCAGTACCGTAACAGCTCTGATTCAACAGTGTTCTTTCTCAGAGACAAGTGCCTTCATACTCCCCTTCCGTCGGTGGGTGCAACATAACCTCGGCGTGGGCATGCCGCTCCCCAAGTCACTGCGCCCGAAGCCTTTGAAGGATTTCGTAGTCGTTATTGGCGCCCCTATCATATGGCAAGAAAATGACACCGTGAATACCATGCATGCCAAGTGCGGTGATTCACATCCGGCTTTCACTCCATGATCAACGTCGAAAGTTTTACATACAGCTTATACATTACTATCATTGAAGCATACGCTTCGCTTGCTCGCAGATACGTTTCGGCGACTCGTGATCTCTTTTACAAGAATGGTGACCGATACGAAGAGTATGCTGAGGGAGAAATTGTTATTCAGTGACAGCTTATGCATAGTTGACAACTATTAGTTTTTTTTCTCTTCGTATAACAGTGTTCAGTAATCAATCATCAGAATCCCTGCGTAAGCCACGACTTGTGACCAAGTCTTGATCATGAAATGGGCCCATGATGGGCCGCCCATCACTCTTGCTGATGGCTATGACAGAATTCCTTCACTCTTCTCCCTTTCTGTGAGTGCCTTGCTCTAGTCGTTTCAATGGATTGTCATCATGCCCAAGCCCTAGACTTAGCTGTCCTCAGCCAACTATGGTGCTCCCGAGATTGTCATGGTATGCTGCCGGAGCTCCAATACGATGTAGCTCAATTTCTTGGCACGCGAGAACCAGGTTTGGTCGAACGTGATTGTGCACGTCTGAGAGCGGAGCAACTGCCATCACTGATATTCAATCGGAAGGGCTCCCTGTGGGTCGTAGATGAATCTTCGAGAAGGGTAGCCAGAGCCCGCTGCATCGACAGTTCCGAAACGACATCGATCGAACCCATCAGGAACGGCTATAGGGTTTGTTACGACTACGACGACGTCAACGACAGACTGTATGCCTTCGACTGCGAATACCATAGAATCTTCGTGTACAAGCTCGATAATCCCGAGTTCTGCCAAGAAATCGATGTTGGCTCTTACGACGAATATGCAATGAGCAGCAAGTGCCGATGTCTCGATGGACTTGTCTTTCTCGCCTATGTCAATACTGAACGCACCACTGCGCTGCGCTGTATCGACTTGAGGGACACTGCAAAACCCACTGAGGCGCGATTACTTTGGACGTATGGTGGTCGATTTTATGGCAGTCGACTTAGAGATTTCATTGTGAGTCGAGTTCCTGGGCAGAGAGGACACTATACTTTCGCATACGTGTATGCTGATGAAGTCATCCGCGTAGCGTTGGAGCTGAACGGTCCTCCAACTCACTCCGCACCCTACCGGGAGGTTGTTAGTTCTATCCCCCGTGGACGCAATTACATCCGGGATATCAGGGTGATTACTCCCAACACGGTTCTGGTCATCGACTCCAGCCATCCTGAAGGCTCCTGCTCTCTACATATTTTCCAGTTTAGAGCTGACGTGTGGCACAGTTGTCACGAACTCATAGCCTTTCCAGTACGCGGTCTTTATGAAGTCGCAGCGCGTCCCGATGGGCTCATATATATGGTCTATTCAATTCGTGGTAGAAGTGGAGAAATTCTGCTGAAGACATACGAGTGCGTGTGGTCGTAACATCGCTTTGCTGTACTCGACATGGCAAGAAAGTCGAGATTTGATTGGTTTCGTTATTTCAATTTTCGTCGTCTACACGTGATATGATGACGCTCAATGAGTTATCATTATATCGTGCCCTGTTAGAAAGCCTGCTTTCCGAAAGTATTAAGTGTTGCGTTGAATGCGGCAGTATCGTACCGATAGCAGCGGAGGGAGTTTGTTTCTGCCGACCAATGACATCAATTAAGACTGATTCTAATACGCGCGGTTGTTCACCGCTTGAGGGGACGTGCTAGAGTGGTGGGTT